GAATTTGTTCCCATCTGGAGGAGGAAGCTTGTCTGATGGCTGGACAAGGCACTGATCTATGAGTATAGCAGAAAAGCCTTAGGAGTCATTTTATCACTACATTTTCTTTTTCTTTTTTAGACCAGCAGTTACTTGGTCTTACCTTAGGCCCCTGGGCTAGCTAGTCTCAGGTTCTTGGTCACCCAAGTAGTGGCCGGTACGGGTTCCACCTCATGGGGTGGCCCTTAAAGGTCAAATCAGTTATTGGTTAGTCCCACGGGCTTTACGCCACCATTACCCTAGCATATCTTGAAGATACAGCACTGTAGATAGGGGGTTTGTGGCCAGCAGTGTATTTACGTTTTTGTCTTGTTAGTGTGCAGAGAACCTTTCTGAAGCAGTGTTCCAGTGAATTAAGGCTCCATGTAGGCACCGGCTGGACCTGTCTTTATTCAATGGTTTGTGTGACTGTTGTTTTCAGCCATGGGACCTTGCTGTCCGTTTGGGGACCTATTGCAAACTATAGTCTTGGCAACAGCCTGGGTTGTTTGGAGATTCCTGTGGGATCCCTTTTGCCAACAGCTCAATTAGACTTAACCCAGTTCTGGTACTCCATGTTTCTTTTGGTGACAAGAGATGGCCCTCTGTCTCCCTGTGGGGGTCACTCTTATTTAAGTCACCCCAGAGCCCACAGCCTGACTACTCCACCCCTTTGCTAGGTGCCTGCCTCCGGCCAGCTCACTTCTCCCAGTCTTAAAATTTTAACGAGGGCCTCACACTCTCAAATAACCTTGGTCTTACGTGTCACCTGCAGACATTTTAAAAGAGTGATTATGTCCAGATTTGACTCACGGCTCCCATTTCCCTCTGCCTGCGGTTTTGGGTGTGCACTTCCCTTCAGGCCCTCCCCAGCTGCCAGGCCCAGCAGCCACAGTCCATAGGACAACCCTCCCTCTCCCCACACATCAGCCTGACCTTGACTGCTGAAGAGGCCCTGACTTCTCCCTCCCTGTTTCTCTTTGCTCCTTTCTAAAAAACAAACAACAAACAAAAACCAGTTCGACTGAGGGATAACCCGTACCTCACTTGATTCCCCCTTTCACAAGGGCAGTGTGTTCAGAGTTGTGCAACTGTCACCGCTGTCCCTTGTCACCCCAAGGAAGCCTCGTGTCACTTTCTCACCACCTTCCAGCCTAGACTGCCACTGGTCTACAGCGTGGCCCTGATCTGCCTGCCAACTCACACCCCTCCTCAGTGCAGGCCCTTTGCTTCTGAAAACCTTCCATGGCTCTTACCTGGGGCATGAGGAGTCCCAATCCAGTGCCAGGCTGGTGTCGCGTGGTACCACGTGACCCAGCCTCTGTGCTGTGCCCGTGCTCCCCAGGCTCACAACTCACACTTGTGCGTCTTCACGCTTCAGACCTTCTTAGATCTCCTCACCTTCCTCCAGTCACGTCTTGACACCTTCCCATACCTCCCTACAACCCCTCACACTTCCCACCAGCTCACAGCTCTCCACACTGCCCCTCATCTCCTCACACCAGCTGACCCTCCTGGGCTTCACACCTCTCCACGCCCTTCTCTGATAACCTCCCTTCATCCAACACCTCCTGCACCTCAGATCTCTTTACACCTCCTCACTTCTCCTCAGACCTTCCTGACCCTCGCATCTCTCCACACCTCCTTACACGTCCTTGTGCCTGGTTAATCTCACAGCTCCTTCATCTCACACTTTTCTTTTTTTAATTAAGCATTTCTTTTAAAAGTTTGTTTTTATTTTGTGTGCGTTGATGTTTTGCCTGCATGCGTATCTGTGTGAGGGGTGTCTGATCTCGGAGTTATAGACAGGTGTGAGCTGCCATGTGGGTGCTGGGATTTGAACCTGGGTCCTTTGGGAGAGCAGTCCGTGCTCTTAACCCCTAAGGCATCTCTCCAGCCCTCCAACTCACACTTTTCCTATACTTTATATCTTCTTTTTCCTCCTCATGTCTTCACACCTCCTCACATCTTTTCATAGCACTCATGCTTATTTAGGGACATGTCCACCTGTCTGTCTGCAGGTCAGCGGCCGGCTTTTCCTTTTCTCAGTTTTACAGAGGCCAGTCACATGCCTGTTGCCTGTCCTGTGCTCAGAGTCCGTTGACTGGCCTGTTAGAACTGTTTCCTTAATCTCTTGTTGAATTCACCCGTTAACCTTTTAGTTGGCGGGGGTTTTCCTCCTGTAGCTTTTTTGTTACCTTTTTTTGTGTGTCTGACTTTGTGTCCATTCCCGGTGCCTGTGTAGTCAATGGGCTCTGTAAACTGCAAGAGTAATTAATCTTTTTTTGCCTCCCCCACGGGAGCCTTCCTCTCCTCCCTGGGGGAGGCCCTGCCAAAGTCAGTGGGAGTCAGTGCAGGCTCATGGAGATGGTAGCAAGATAAGAGGTCCCAAGGACCAAGACGTGACCACAGACTGAGTTTTCATCAATCTTTAGTGAAGCCTCTGCAGACAGAGTGGGTACACAAGGCAACTTGGATTTATTATAACTTAGTTTGGACGTGTATGTCTTTTTGGTTTTGTTTTGTTTGTTTTTTGTTTTTGTTTTTGTTTTTGTTTTTGAGACAGGCTGGCCTAGAACTCAGCAAAGATCTACCTGCCTCTGCCTCCCAGAATGCTGGGGTTGCAGGCTTGCGTCACTGCACCCGGCTGCGTGTCTTTTAAATTAATGAGGACAGAGTTTATGTTGAAAGTATATTTGTGTATGTATTGGTAGAGTATGCTGTCTCTCAGATATCCATGCCCTCATCACTTACACTGTTTCAGTTTCAGTTGCCTGCAATTGTGAACTTGAGGGAACTTAGGGTTTAGGATGGAGGAAGAGCGCTGAGCACAGCTTGAGCAGCTTGGCTGAATGCAGACAAGTTGTAATGGCCATACAAGGAGGGCGGGTGGAAGTTCCAGTGTTCAGCTTGATGTGGCCCTGGCTGTTGGCTTGGGAGGATCCCAGTGACACCCTCTATCTGAGTGGCCTTCATCTGGGATGACCTCTTCCCTTCAGGTGGTAATGAGACTTTAATGGTGAGATGAGTTAGGGTTGGTCAGATAGTTTCATCTCTGAGGGAGCGTGAGAGTAGTGGGGTTTTCCTACTCAGTGCATTACCCGGGCTCATGTCCAGGGGCTAAGTCTTGGGCATCACTAAACTTGCTCTTCCTAATTATTGTTGGTATTCTTGCTGGTATCATCACCCTTTCTCAGCTGCCGTGAACGTGCCGTCTGGACTATAGGGCAGTGTTCCCCAGCGTCTGTTCCCTGAGCACCATTAGGAAGACTTGAGTGGTGAAATAAGTTAGGAAAACTGTTGTATAGCACACTCCTCTCGAAGACTGACATTATAATAATCTTCTAAAGGCTCTGTGGGTTCCTGTAGGGGAACAGGTATTTTCAGGGCTGGTAGGATAGCTCAGTGACCAAAGATGCTTGCTGCCAAACCTCATGGCCCGAGTTTGATCCCAGGGACCCCCACAAGAACATCTAAGGTTGTTCTTCGGACCTGTTCTGCCTACACGCTCTGGCACATCAGTGCCCATATACATGCACACACAAATAATTTAAGGAATGTTTTTTTTTCTAATGTTTTTAAATGTATTTGTTCACATGACCGTTTTTCCAATTTCCAATAATGTTTATTATAAATTGAGTACCAGTTCTGTTGGAACAGCGTGATGGGTCCTGTCTCAGTGTGAATTCTCACAGGTGTAATTGTTGAGGTGAAGTAGGTGAACACTTACAAGGCACGTGTGCCAGAACTGGGAACCCTGTCCTTTACGTGGGACTGGGAAAGGATTTTTATAGGTCTTGGCTAGGGTTGGCGGGTCCCACCTGATTCCATTCAGCGTGTCCTTCACTGAAAGTGGGCAGGCCGAGCTCCAGGATCAGTGACTATTGGAAGAAAAAAAAAAAAGTTTCCTTATTTATAAGGCTTGTAGTTTGTATAAGGTGGGCTGGGGGACTGTTGGGGTTTTTTTATATCTCTTGAGCAAAGACATCATTCTGCAGGTCCCATGGGAAAGAGACAACAGCACTGGCCAAGGCTGAAAGTGAGCTTGACTCCACAGGAGTCCTGGGTTCACTCTAATGCGCTCACAGTCTCTCCAGTGTCACCATGTGACCTAGGCTACAGCTGCAGCACATGCTGAGAGCAGATAGGAGTTGGTGTCCCAGTCTGAGGCTGATTCCGTGGCCTGTAGGTCTGTGCTCCCACCAGCTGCAGTAAGAGACTTCTTTGTGGTTCTGTATATCTGGGCCCTTCTTCTCCAGTGGGACTGTAAGCCATTGAAAGCAGGGCTGGCCTTTGCTTTCTCTTTGCTGACAGCAGCGTTCATGGAGCTGAGCCCATTGGATAGGGCCACTCACTTGTGCCCCGGCTGGCAATGCAGCTCCCAGAGGCACTGGACCTTGTATAGTTAGAGAATGTTACATGCTTTGAATGAACCCCCAATTGTGGCACAACATGAAATAAAATTATGTATTCCCAAGATAAGATCAACAGTTTGTTGTTGTTGTTCTTCATTGTGACAGAGTCTTGCCTTGGCTGGTTTCAAATATTTGAATCTCCTGAGTGTGGGAATGGTGGGCATAGACCGCCATGCCTGCCTCAAAAACACTCCTTGAAAATAATGTAGTTTCTCTCTCTTCTTCACTGGATATTTTAACAAAGACTCCTGGGGTTTGGTTTTATTTTTCTTCAGACCCTGTGAGTATTAGGCAACAACTTGGCCACTGAGCTAGAACCCCGTCCTTATTTTACTTTTCAAGACAAGGTTCACTCAGTTGCTGAAGCTGACTTCAAAATCACTGGGTAGCCCAGGCAGTCCTTGAACCTGGCACCCTCTCTACCTCAGCCTCCTGAGGACTGCTTCTCACCATCAGGAAAAGTGTCTGGCATCTTGCTGTAGAAGGAGGGGGACCCTAGGTGATGGTAACATCTCGTTGCCGTCCATACTTTGCGCCCCAACCTTCCATGTTTTCCTGTCATTGCAGGTGATTTTCAAGGCCAAGTCCAAATATTCTCCAGAGTTACTCAAATATCGGTAAGTACCCCCAGAACATTGCTTCTCAGACAGAAGGTGAAGCGTTTGCACAAGAAACCTGTTTTGCCAGCTGAGGTGTGCATATTTGACCCCTCTGTAAACACCCAGACAACCCTGCAGTGGTCCTGTTTGCCTGATGGAATGCTTTCCATTGTTCACAGGAGCCTGCACGTGGATAGGGTTTGCAGGGGTCCTGTGGAACAGTACACACATGCACACACATGCCACCCACACGCTTCCTCCAGGCTTGCCTTGCTCTCTGTGCTTCTTCCTCAGCCTCCTGCCTGCTGGCTTGGCGGGTATGCACAATCATGCTCGCTTTTCAAGCACTAGTTAAAACAATGTAGCTTTTGGTCAGTACTCGCCTAGCATGCACAAAGCCTGAGTCCAGCCCTGAGGACAGTAAAAACCACTTGTGGTGCACACCTGTGATCTCTGGACTCTGAAGGTAAAAGCAGAGGGATCAGAAATCCAAAGTCACCTCAGCTAGGCACCGAGTTTGAGGTTGTACTTATTCTAGGAGCCCAAGAGAGGAACATGGTCAGGAGAGACCTTGAGTGACATACGCAGTCTATGAAAAAAGGTAACAGTTCACGCTCCTCCTGCATTGTCAGAAAAATTGGTCACGCTCCAAAGCTTAGAACGGTCAGATTTGGTTCAGGTATGCTTGTGTAACCTCTGTGCTCAGGATGATGAGGCAGAATCTTGTGTTTGAAGCCTTCCTGTGCTCTGGAGTGAATTTGAGCTAATCTTGGCTAATAAGACCCTGTTTCATCAGAGGTGAGCAATGATGATCAGGTTTGGCTTTGGAGACATGGTAAGAAAGGGCCTAAGAGAGGGCTGGGGCACATGGCATTCTTTGTGTTTTGTGGTCTTGCCCAAAGGACTTCACCACCATGGGTACAAAATACTGGAAAAGTGAATCATCGTGTCACAAGAAAAATGTACACACAGACCTCATTTAAATACAATCCACACCCATGGATTCAATCATGAATGGCTCAAAAATTCTCACAAATGGGCTGGCAAGATTGCTCAGTGGGTAAAGGCGCTTGCTGGCAAGCCTGATGACTAGGTCTATCCCCAGAACCTACGTGGTAGAAAGAACTATCATAATTGTCCTCTGATTTCCACAGGTGTGCTGTGGCACCTGACCCTCCCACATACACCCACACTTTCTAACTTTAAGCATAAGTTATAGATTAGATTAGCTTAGATTGTATTTAGATTATACATGTTTCCTGTAAATTGTTGTGAGTCTTTGTTCCAGCCCCTTTAAGACTTGTGTCTGGAGATCTAGCTCAGTCAAGACCTGCGTTTGATCCTCAGAATTTTTTTTTTTTTTTAAAGTGACTTGGCATGGATGCTTGTGATCTTAGCACTAGGAGGTAAAGATTGTCAGATCCCGAAGGTGCTAGAACAGGCTTTGCTACCCAGAAATCTAGAAAAGAGAGGTTACAGGTGGGAAGATCAGCCTGTTTAAGGACCAGACGGGGATTTGTGGATCTAGCCTGCACCCCATACCCTCTTCTCGTGGTGTACTGGGCCGAGGCAGATGGTGGGCAGCAGGAGAGAAGGGAAATGGAGGTTTGTTGGTTCTGCTGTGGCATCCAGATAGGACGTGGAATACAGGGATCCACACCCAGAGCTGGCAGCAGGTGCCATGGTCCGTGGTGCTGGATGATGTATCATAGTGGCCTGTGATGCTGGATGGCACGCTGCCATGCTTGGTGGTGCTCCGTGATGCTCCTCAGTGCTCCACGGCGCTCTCTAGTGCCCTTTCTTTTCACCACACTTTATCCTTTTGGTACTTTCCCGATGTGCTTTGCTTTGTGATGAAAGGATGATAGCCATTTGAATGATATTTAAGATAGCATCCTGAGGAGTCGTCTGGACAGACACCAGCCGGACTGTGCCCGGGGCTGTCTTCAGAGAACCTGTGCAGGGCAGAGAGGCAGAGGCTCACAATCTTGTGCCTTTCACAGCTCAGCAGCTGCTAGTACAACACTAAACAGGGCTTTCTAGAAGCTGGCATGCCTGGTAATTCGCCAAGGACCCCACATTTGTCCTTCTTTCCTCACAGGCAACACATGGAAAATGGATAAAAAGGGTCACAGCTTCATGTGTCCTTTTTGAGTCAGGCAAGAGTGGCTGTGGTTTGGAGAGAGGGAGCCTGATCCAGGATGGCATGCATGCACTTGTGGGGAGTGGAGAAAGACTATGCCTTGCTAGACACGGGAATGGCCGTGTCAAGGACCCCAAAGCCTCAGATGTATTGGGATGGCAAAGCCTTCTCTGAGTGTGGTGCTTTGAGTGAAAAGGGCCCTAATAGGCTCACATATTTGGAGGCTCAGTAACCAGGGTATGGAACTGTTTCAAAAGATCAGAAGGATTAGGAGGTGTGGCTTTGTTGGAGGAAGTATGTTACTGGGGATGGACCTTGAGGCTTCAGAAGCTCACGGCAGGACCACTGTCTCTCTGCTTGCTGCCTGTAGATCAGGATGTAAGGCTTTCAGCTACTGCTCCAGAACCATGCCTGTCTGCTTCCTGCCATGATGGCCGTGGACTAACTCTCTGAAACTGTAGGCAAACTCCCAACTAAATGCTTCCTTTTATAAGTTGCCTTGGTCACGGTGTCTCCTCAAAGCTTCCGAACAGTTACCGAGACACTGGGTAACACTCAGGGAAGTGTCAAAGCCTTCCTCTGGTCAGTGTGCAAACGTGTAGAAAATGTCCACAGTACCTTTTTCCTGGATGTTTAAAGCCCGAGACTGCTCCCCTACAGAGACATCCCTGCTGAAATTAACTGCAAATAATAATCCCACCTCCTTGTTCAGCTGTATATAGTAAACCCACCTCCTAATTCAGGTGTATAAAAGGTGCCAAGTTTCTAGTGTACTGCTGAGGCTCTGTCAGGGCACGCAGCCCCTGGCCCAGTTTCTTCGTGTCTGTTTGGTCAGTCCCTTATAGAAGTGCAGGGTCTCGGTGGGAGCTGTAGTTTCCAGAGGCCCCTCTGCCATAGGCCTTGGAACACAGCTGCACGGGTTTCGGGAAGGGGAACAGCCCCTGGGAAATGGCCGTATTTCTAAGATGGGGTTGGAGGTGGTGCATGTTGTAGAGCTGAATTGGCAAGTATGTGGCACACTTGCGGACACAGTGGGGCCGCAGAGGAGGCACGGGAGAAATTGTGGTGGGTTTAGAGAGACCTGATTGAGACCCAGACTTTACAGAGTCCTAGGGGCTCTACTTCTGGGTTCTGGTCCCACTACCTCCCTAACAGGCCTGCATCCAGAGCCAAGCCATCACTTTCACCATTCCTGGAGAGCCCTAGGAAGGCACAGTCTGCACTCGCTCCTGACCCAATGCTGGGTACATACATCCTTTCTAAAACCTGGATGTGGTCAGGTGATGGTTTGGCTGCTCAGCCTGTATAGTCCTAAGTTCCATGTCCTATCCCTTCTCCATCTCAACTGTCCCCCAGTGCCAGTGTCTTAATTCATACTCCTTCTGGTCTGCTGGGACCTCACCTCTCTGGGAGCGTTCTCTCTCTTTGAGGTCTTTGTCATTAGACCTGGCTGGCCTATGTGGCTTCTCCTTTTCATCAGATGGGCTAGAAGTACATGTAGCTCTGGGTTCAGGGGTTTGCAGGGAGTGTCCACAGTTCCCTCTGTTCACTTGGAAAGATGTCCTTTGTCCATGGCAAGTTATCGCCAACAAGAGGATGTTAATAATACAGTTTTTTGGGGAGCCAGGTTCAGGTGTGTCAAGCAGGGCTTTGGGCTCGAGTCCTTCTTAGGTGAGGTTTCATGTATTCCACACTGGCCTCCAACTCATTACGTCACCGAAGACGACCGTGACTTCTGATCCTCTTCTGCTTCCACATCTTAAGTGCTGGGATGACAGGCATGCACCACCATTCCCAGCTTCTATAGCCCTGGGAATGAAACTGAGAGCCTCACACATGCTCTGCAAGTACTCTAGCAGCCGAGCGACATCCCAGCTGTCTCCTTCCATCTCAAAACATGCACAGCGGTGGCAGGGAACCCCCACCTGCTGTGGTGTGGGCACAGCCAGCCCTCAGACTTTGGACCTTGCAGGCACGAGTTGATTCCTCATCCCTTTGGTTGCAAGCTGTGAGAAATCTGTGGAGTTTAAGTGTAAGAAATCCAGGAAAGCAGGGACAAGAAGACCAGGGAGTGTCGTGTCTGCAGGTACGGAAGGGTCCGAGTCAGCAAGCCTCTGTAGCAGCTTGCTGAGCTGAGTTACAGGTGGTACTGGAAACCAGAGAGAGAAAGGCCTCATGGGATCACGGTTTCTGATGCTGAGATTACTTATTAACATGTGTGTGTCTGTCTGTGTAAGTATCCAGTTGTGCGCTCAGAGGCCAGAGGAGGACATTGCCATTGCGTGTCCAGTTCTATCCCTGTCCTTATTCCTCTGAGGTGGTCTCTCACTGAATCTGGAACTAGACTGGTAGCCAGCAACTCCCATCTATCACTCCCACCGCCATCACTGGGGTTACACGTGTGTACATCCATGCCTATTTTATGTGGGTCCTAGGGGTTTGGACCAAAACTTATGCAAAGCCCTCACAGCAGTCCACTTTTGAGCCACACAGTTTCACCCCTTATTGCATGTCTGCCACGTGGGTCTGCCAGGAAAGAACATCATGTGGGGAGCTATGAGGGGACCGTGGTGAGGCTGACGCCTTTTGTGTCAGCAAGTCTGAGGAGCCTGCATCTCCCATGTGCGGGTCTCTTGTACATGTGGAGCTCTGAAAAACTGTAAGATGAAATGGCCAGTGACATAAACAGCTCAGGGCTTGGGGCCTGTAGTTTGGTGTTAGAACATTCACCGAGGGAGTGCAGTGCCCTTGGTTTAACCCTTAGCACTAGGAAAGAAAAATAAATTTTAAGGCAATTTTTATCCTTTTAGCATTTTTTAGTCAATGTGGTAGATTTGTATCGTGGTTTTCCTTGTAGTGTTAGAGCTCAGATCCAGGTCTCTGTAGGCAAGTGCTCTGGCACTTAGCTGTGTTCCCAGCCCCAGCTGTGACAGAGTTTTTGTTTTTTTAAACTTTTCATCATTTTATGCGTGTGTGCGCACCTTATGTGTGCTGGGTTCCAGAAGAGGTCAGAAGACATTGGATTCCCTGGGACTGGAGTTACAGGCATGTGAGCTGCCATATTGACTCCAGGTCCTCTGGAAGAGCAGCCAGTGCTCTTAAGTGCTGCTGAGCCAGGTCTCCAGCCCCTGTGGCAACTCACAGGGAAGACTCTGTATAGTTAATGGAGTGGGGAGAAGACAGAACACATTATACAAAGGATGGTGCTTAAAAGGTACAGCTGCATTTGTGCAGGGTAGATTGTGTGACCCAGAAATAAACTCCGGATGCTCAAGTCCCAAGAATATGGCCTAGACATGTGGCCTACACTCATCCTCGCTATAGCATATAACTCATCTCTAGGTTTGATATCTAACCGTGTGAATGTTAGGAAAATGGGTGTTTGGGGTATAATGTCAGGAGACGCCTGCATGTGCTCAGCACAGATGCAGTGCAGTTACTTTGGCTCTTGGCCGGTTGAGTCTGGGATAAGGATACAGGGAGCAGGGAGGACAGAGCTGTCTTCAGAAACAGCCTTGTGAGGCAGGCATCAGGGAGTTTCATTGTTAGACGATGGAATGAAGTGCAGAGACTGCGTTGTGTCCCTCTCACCCATGTTGAGGGTTTTGGGGTAGAGGCTCTGTACTCTGCCCGGAGCTGAGTCCAAGCATGTTCTCACGCCTGTGCACAGGCAATTCGGATAGGATGCTCAGGCAAGCAGCCAATAGGCACAACCCTGAAGCAAGTTCTTGCTACCTCTTAGAAGTGGGACAGTATAAAAGACCCTCCGGCAAGGGGTTCCTGACAGTGGTCATTTTGTAATGACCTGAGCCTGTCTACCACCAAGAGCCATGCTCCTGCCTCTGCTTCAGCAGTTAGCCCAAGCAGCTTCTTTCTAGACTGGCCCAGAATGTGTGGCTAAGATGAATAACAGATCCTGAAGTGTGTCTCTTGTCTTCCCCAGGTTACCTCTCTACCTGGCCTCGCTTTTCATCAGCCTTGTTTTCCTGTTGGTGAATCTGACCTGTGCTGTGCTGGTGAAGACGGGAAACTGGGAAAGGAAGGTTATCGTCTCCGTGAGAGTGGCCATCAATGACACACTCTTTGTGCTGTGTGCCATCTCTCTCTCCATCTGCCTCTACAAAATCTCCAAGATGTCCCTGGCCAACATCTACCTGGAGTCAAAGGTATGGTGGGAATGTGGCCAAGGTTCCTTATTTTGAAAATGGCTTTCTCCTGGTTTGCACACGGGACACAACAGATCTTGCTCACTCTGTGGCTCACTGAACTTTGTGTGAACTTCTGTTTCTAGATGGCTTAGCATATGCTAGGGTGTGTAGTGTCTCTGGGAAAACTTAGTTTGGCTTAGAACTACAACTATTTTTTTGTGGTGCTGGAGAGCAAACACAGCCGCGCCGCGCCCCCTTCCGCCCGCCCCCCGCCCCCCCCCTCCCCCTCCGCACTAGGCAATCGTCACCACTGAGTTACACATTTTAAAAATTCTTATTTGGAGACAAGGTCTTTGTAAGTTGCCTGGGCTGCCCTTGAACTCACTGTCACCCTGGCTGGACTTGCGACCCTCCTCCTTCAGCCCCCACTCTTACACCTCCAGGCCTGACTTGAGCATTTTTAGTACGTGAGCTAATGTCAGTGGGGGTAGTGTCAAAGCCACACTTAATGGGTAAGGAATCTGAAGCAGAGAGTTCAAGAAGTGCGTCCCAGGTCAATGCTCACAAGTACACAGCTGACGTGAATGTGGGCTGCCAAGGACCAGAGTTCAGGCCTTACTACCACCTGCCGTGCCTCTGTGGCGACTCAGATTTAGCCTGAGCCCTCATCAGCTTCTCTCTGGCTGAGGGCATGTTCCCGGCTCTTGCTCCAAGATGGAGTCAGACTCAGGCAAGGAGGCAGCCCTTGCTTCTTATCTACCACTGTCACACAGCCTGACCTCCATGCTATCTTATCCCCAGGGCTATGAGAAGGGCAAATATTCAGGTACTCTGTGCTACCAAAATGCTTCTGGTCAGCCAGGCCCGTGAATCTCCTTTACAGATTCCCAACCGAAGCCCTGGAAACCTGGTGAATGGGGGTGGGGGGTGGCTGTGTAGAGAGCAGCGTTGGGCCCTGGACAGCCAGGGGAACTGGCCCCCTCACTCGCACCACCTCCATCCTTACCCTTCACTTCCTGGGCCCTGCCAATTGTGAGATTAAGTGAATTCTCCAGTGTCTGTGCTTCCGAATACAACGCCTCTGTGCCCTGTGACAGATCTGCATTCAGACACACACGCCTTCCTCCGGGACTCTTCGGGTCTTAGTATGCCTGTGGCCTGAAAACTTCAGGGCAGCTGGGCTCCCACCAGGCTGTGTCTTTAGAAGTGATCAGTGGGTGAAAAGCTCTGCCTTTAGCCCTCACAAGGCCCACTGTGATTCAGGTGGACTCATGAAAATCCTACACATCAACTGAGCCAGTTCTTTCACTTGGAAATCTCGATGTTTTACACTTAATTTTTGCCATACAGTTCATTCTCTTATGAGTTGTGCAAAAATTTTGAAAAATAAAACTGCAGTTTTTAGAAGGAAGAGTTAAGTCATTGATTGTCAGATACACTTAGCTGACCCCTGTGATGAAATGAATGACACTTTGATTTAGGTAATGACTCCTCAATGCAGGATGCAAGTCAGCTCTGCGTTTCTTTGGCCTGTTAACTAGCTGGGGCCCTTTAAAAAAGAAAAAAAATTTTTTTTTTAAAGATTTATTATGTATAGTGTTCTGCCTGTATGTACACCTGCATGCCAGATGAGGGCACCAGATCTCATTATAGATGGTTGTGAGCCACCATGTGGTTGTGGGAATTGAACTTAGAACCTTTGGAAGAGCAGCCAAAGGTTAAGAGCAGCTCTTAACTGGGGGCCCTTTAAGTGATTGCAGACACTGATACAGCTTCATAAATAGGGAAAAGTCACAGATACTCGAGTGACCTTACCCAGAGGCCAAGTAGGACTTCTATGCTTCTAGCTTAGGAGGATCTAGACCTGAACAAGGCTACATCCTTGTCTGCTGTGCCCATCAGCCAGGATCTTGTTACTGAACAATGGGACTTAAGAGATCTGATGAGGTTTTTGACATTCTGCCTCTTAAGATCAAGGCCTTATGGCCTTAGTCAATAAAATACAAACATAAGGTACCTGGGTCCTCTGGAAACCAGTGCAAAAGCATGTACTTAAAACTCTGGGGCTCAGCAGAGGAGGCAGGTATGCCTGCAGTGGTCCATTCCTGTTGGCTTTGTCTTCCAGGGCTCTTCGGTGTGTCAGGTGACTGCCATTGGTGTCACCGTCATCTTGCTCTACACCTCTCGGGCCTGCTACAACCTGTTCATTTTGTCGTTTTCTCAGATCAGGAACGTCCACTCCTTTGATTATGACTGGTACAATGTATCAGACCAGGTCAGTGGGGGCATGACAAGGTGGTGTCCAGGGACCAGGTCAGTGGGGGCTGGGCAAGGTTCTGCCTGCACAGGCACCAGATCAGTGGAATGTGGTGAGATGCTGCCTCAGTGGGGACCAGCTTAGTAGGATGCAGTGAGTGTCCACAGGAAGGCCAAACTCTGTTTCTGCTGTACAGTGCCAGGTACACAAAAGCAAACAGACATCTTCCCCTGCCCTGTGGGATTGGATGCCCCAGTGATGTATAAACACAGATAAATGCAGTGGGAAATGAACCCTCTGAATAGGACTCTATTGGATTGCTTTGCAAACATTCCTTAGTGTTATATGGGAAAAACAGCAAATGTGTGCAAGTCCAGCTATAAAATCCTACCAGTGCTCACAATGGGAGCTGATTTAAGGTAGTGAGATAAAACTAAAATGACATCAGTGGTCTAAATCCACAATGGCTACATACACATTATCCCTGGAAAAATGAAACCGTGGCTAGCAACCCCTGGGCAACCTCACAGGTACATCAGGAAAAAGCTGGGCAAGGATGCTTCGGTATGTGTGCCATTTGAGGAAAACCAGATGTGAGATTTCTAGACCTTAAGTGGTGGCCAAGTATAGAGATGTTCATCATATACAAGGCTTTCAGTAGCACTGGTACATACAAGTTCAAACCATCACTGCTGCCCGCGTGACCTCTTCATGTTTCCGAACTGAAGTTCCATCACACAACAGATCTGCTTTTAACAAGTTACTTCCAACTTTATTTCAATTAAGAACTTACAACCATGTTTAGCAGCTTCAAGGGCCTGTACCTTCTTGATGAAGGGAGATGGTGTGGGGCTGGGCTGTGGTAATCTAGAAGCAGGAGACATGAGTACCATCACCCTGGGGAGGAGCATTTGGTCACTGCTTTCAGCAGGATGTACTGGAGAAGGCTTAAGGACCAGGCTGTGGCTCAGTGCTTTCTTCCCAGTAACAGGCTGAGAAGCTGCCACATCCAGCTCTTCTCTACTCTGGGACCTTCCCTTCACTGAAGCCCCCAGAGCCATCCTCTTGGGCTTTCCCTTGCTCAGAGGACTTTGCCTGGACAAGCTGTTCTCCACTCATGTGTGGAGAATGTGACTTTAGGAGGAGTCAGGGCTGGGGTGTGGGCTCTGGGTTTATCCCTTGAACTCCAAAAGTAAATGACTAGCCAGTCATAATCATCCTAAATGGTTTCCATAGTACTCCAGCTGGGGCCTGGCCCACCGCTGCAACACAGTTTCACAGTGCAGGCTTTAGGGGGAATGTTTCACTGTGTCTAGGAGTGTTCTCTGCTGTGTGCCTTCAATACTGGTTGTCTGAGGTTTCATGACTTCATTTTCCCTCCTCTGCAACAGGCAGATCTGAAGAGCCAGCTGGGCGATGCTGGCTACGTAGTTTTTGGTGTGGTGCTTTTTGTGTGGGAGCTCTTACCCACCACCTTGGTGGTCTATTTCTTCAGAGTCAGAAATCCCACAAAGGACCTTGTAAGTACCCCTGTCTGTTTGCTGGCATCCTTAATCCTCCTGAAATTTGGATTTTCCTCCCAGTTTTTCAGTGAAGCTTCTTGTATCCCATGGTAGGGTAGGTCATCCATGACTCTTTCAATAGAATCTCTTTTTCCTGTAATGCTCTCTTAAAGAAAATGTGTTTGGAGGTTTATCTTTATTTTACAAAAGAAATGAAAGTCAAGGTACATCTCATGGGCTGGGGCTTGGTGATTCTTAATGTAACACAGTGTTCACTGTCCTCTAAACACATACACTGCTCTTTTAGCGGAGAATAGAGGGTTGGAGATAAGGCATTTGGTAGAGTGCTTGCCTAACATGCATGAAGTCCTGGGCTTGGTCCTCAGTATCACATAAAACCAGGCATGTAATCGTAGCACTGGGGAGGGGGGAGATAGAAGTAAGTGGATCAGAGGTTCAGTCATCCTTGGCTACATAACGAGTCTGAAAATAACAGTTAAACAAAAAAGAGAAAACAGACTCACTTTATCCCCAGAGTGACACTAGCTCATCAGGGAGTTTGAGAGCAGTGGAGTGGCATCATGGTGACCATGCTGAAGCCACCCACTCCTGTTTGGCCACATCTTCTGCTTAACCAACACTATAGAAAAGAAAACCAAGCAAGTCAGGCTCAGGATGCCCTGAAGCCTTGCTGTGTCTCACAAGCCAGGGTGCCTTCCTGAGACATATACTCGGGAGGGTGGGGAGTAGATTTTCGGCCAGTGTGAGCAGTGAAGAGGGCACAGCTCCTGTTCCATACCCAGGTAACAACAGCTTGCTATTCTTTTTTCTACTCATCTCTGGGTGGTCACCGCTGAGCCAGGCACAGGAAACAGACCAGGGTGAGATGAAGCACGGCCTAGTTAAGCCTTCCCTGCCAGAATGGACTCCAGCAATGTACATTTGCAGTTTTTTGGGAGTTCAGTTTGGGCCAAAAGTATGAAAGGATAGAGGGAGGATCCTGAGGTAAGAAGCTCCCGAGAGCCTGGTATGTCTCCACATGGACAAACTGCTTTAGTCTGGGGAACTTACTGTTTTGAGACAATCCTGCTGTAGGGCAAGGGCTGACCTCGAGGTAAAAACCTCTGACTCGACCTCCCAGGTGCTGGGGGTATAAGCAGGAATGACTATACCTGGCTATGTGGACATATCGGTGAGGAATTAAAGCAGTAGTTCATCACTGGAAGTAAGAGCTATGTATGGCGTTATTAGCATTATTAACGGTATTACATAATGGGTTTCACCGTGATGTTTATATAACCATATTTTTATTTATCCTCCCTCCCAATTACCCTTTCTTCTACTGATCACCAACTAGTCAGTGCTCTTCCTATGGTCAATTTAAGAAAAAAAAAATTGCCTATTGCTGGGCATGGTAGCACATGCCTTTAATCCTAGCACTTGGGGAGGCAGGGGATACTCTGAGTTCAAGGCCAGCCTAGTCTACAGAGTGAGTCCAGGACAGCCAAGGCTACACAGAGAAACCCTCTCTAAAAGCCAAGAAAACAAAACAAAAACCCAAAACTCCCACCTAAATAAAAACAAAAAACAACAACAAAAACTGCCTATAGATCCTCAAGGAGAGAGCAGCCCTCCCTCCTTCATGCTGTACTTTGGGACTGGAGATATAGCTCAATTGGTAGAGTGCTTGCCTAGCATGCAGGAAACCTTTGATTCAATCCTCAGCACCTAAGAGGTAGAGGGAGGAAAATAAAAAATTCAAGGTCATCTTTGGCTTTTAAGGTTGAGACTAGCATGGGTGCTAAGCTGATAATGTCTTCTTCTAGACCAACCCTGGGATGGTCCCCAGCCATGGATTCAGTCCCAGGTCCTATTTCTTTGACAACCCCCGAAGATACGACAGTGATGATGATCTTGCCTGGAACATTGCCCCTCAGGGACTTCAGGGAAGGTAAGAGCCTGCGCCTGTAGGAGAGTGCTGGGCCACTGGAACAGCTCCAACTGGAAGACTACTCCTACTCCTGTAGGGTCAGGTTCACCATGGGGAAACAGCAAGGTGTAACAGCAAAGAAGAGATCTAGACAAGATTCCCTCCCCCAGTCCCCCCAGTCAGGATCCCATGCTTAGTAGCTGTGCTGGTTTTAAAGAAATCAACCTTCACTTATAGGACTTCTCCGAGCCTACCCAGAGAGAGCCAGAGCATTTGCTGCTCCAGTCACTCAGTGGAACGTGACCTGGGACATCCGGGCAGACATCTCGGATCCTCTTCTAAAGCCAGAGAATACATGAACAATAATCACTAGAGCAAATGTATTATAAGAACCAGTATTTGAAATTTGTCATTCTTAAGTACTTACTAAGATCACAAGTGTCATCTCACTCATTGTTTGCTACAGTCCTGTGAGGTCGGTATAATTGAGTTCTCATGGTTCGAGATCTGTGGGAATCCCTTTCCTAGGTAAGCAATGTGGCTGGCCCTGGTGCAGACCTCAGTGCCAGAGTACTTGGGAACTGCCCCCTTTCTTGAAAATCCACTTGCAACGTGGGCTCAGTCTATTTTAGGGTGGGTATTTACACACAGTAGCATTCACAATGGGGGGTGTGTGTGTGTGTGCGTGCTCAAGATAGTAAACAAGCTGTACCTGGTGCCTTCAGCTAGACCCAGAGTCTGGATAACAGGGAGGAAGGGAAGCCCTCCTAGCCAGGGCCAGGAGCAGCCCTAGCTGCCCAATGTTCCTCCTCTCCCTGTGCACCTGGATCTGGCTGGCGCTCAGAAAACCCATTGGTTTGGGCTGTGTGTGTGCTGTCTCAGTGGGTAGGGAGGACAGCCCTGATCAGATAAGAAAATAAGGTAGCAGGGGAAAGCGCAGAGCAGCAGAGGTCACGTACAGACTCTGGAAGCAAGCCAACATACAAAGATTTCTCAGGGTCAAAGCCATCCTCCCAAGAGTCTGAGCTCCACCTCTTCCCAAACTGTTCTCTTAGCTAGCACCCCACTGTTTCACCCTGGGACCCCACCCAGGCATCCCTAACCATGACTTGCCAAGAGTAGAGAGGGAATACTCAGCCTGTGCAGAGCAAGACAAGACCCTTCTGTGATAAGAGGAAAATGAAAACAGTGTAGAGTTCAAATGGTATGTATCTCAGATGTTGCTCTTGAGGACTTTTGTTGTTCACTCAACCCTGACTACAGCCCAACAAGGAAGTTGCTAATGCCACTCCTGTTCCACAGATGAGGAAACTTCAGACACAGAAATTCTCTATCCAAAACACATGGGCACTGAACTGTAAGACACAATTTTTTTTGCCAAAACTGTTCTCCACAGTGGCTAGTTTTAGGTTCTAGTAGTTGCAAACTTCTGAGCTCTGCAGGGTTTGGTAGACTTGAATGCAGGCTGCCAGCAGCAGTGTGCATAGCTGTTTGGTGAGAAATGGGCTTCCAGACACCAGCCTGAAAAACCCAAGTCTATTGATAAGTACACATGCCACTTATACATAACACGCTGTGTTAAGCCACTAAACTGGTTTTGTTTGTTTGTTTAAAGTTTTGCTCCGGACTACTATGATTGGGGACAGCAAACTAACAGCTTCCTGGCACAAGCAGGAACTTTGCTGCAAGACTCTACTTTGGATCCAGACAAAGCAAGTCAAGGGTAGCAGCAACTTGACACAGTCCTATGGAAGAGTCCTCTGTTGAAAACCTTCTGCCAGACAGACTGGATGACAGCTGAGTTTTTAGGGCACTTTTCCTTATGACACAGAACTTTATTTTTTGCTGTAGCTTTCTCATGGCTCCATAGGACTAAGCAATAATTTAGAGTGATAAATCCTTACTTTAGTACTAGCAGAGAGCCTGGCTATTTCAGTGGGTATAATTTAAACTTTTAAACGAGATTCTGTACTTTTATAAAGATGTATTTTATATAACTTAAATACTAATGCTAAAGTATACTAGGTTTCCCCATGATTGTTAGTGTGATGTGTGTTGTAGTTTGCACAGACTTTCATGCATAATTCACTTTAAAACGTATAGCATACGTGGTCTAATAGTTTAAAGCTTTTGGACAAGTTTCGCAAAGCCTTACCTCTGAAGGTCACTCTGACTGTGAGGGCCACTGCCACTCCAGTGTTGAAAGTTAAGAGGAGGCAGGGTGCCACGGTCTGTACGTAACTGGCTCAGCAGTAGCAGTTCCTCTTAAACTTTGCCCAAAGTCAGGTGCTTCTTCATCTGAGAGCACTACTATAAGCACTCCGGTAACAAGTGGATACTGTCAAGATGTAGTTGCCGACACTATTAAAACTCCTCTGCTGTGTGTGTAGCCATTTTGTAGTTTTCTTCAGCCTGGTGTGACTGAATACTCACTACCTCAGTAGGATGGCAGGACTGCGCCTTCCCTGACTCAGCCAGTGCTTGCTATATACAAAGACAAACCAAGAAATCCCCACTAAGTGTTAAGAGTAAATTTTTCCGGCCCTCAAGCTCTAAAGGACTGTGGGCTCTTGACAGCTTTTCTGTAAAACATGCCTGTAATTTGTATGAGACTGACATGGTGCTCACTGCCTGTTATTTTTAAATAGTGCTCAAGCTATGGAAAGCTGTGTGTTTTAAACAGTGGGCTCTGCCTATGGTAGCAGGACCCCTGTCTCAGCCAGAGGGTGTTCCAGACAATGTTCCCTATGTGCTGTCTCAGGGCTCCCCTGGGTGTACTCTGGAACCAAAATGGCCCTCCTGGAAGCTGGATGCTCTGGCTTCTCACAGAATGCATCATCTGGTCCTAGAGGTCACCAGAGCCACAGTCAGTCTTGCTCATACAGCCCACTTTACTAGAGGTTTGCTGCTCTAGAGTTTTGGAAAAGCCCATCTTGGGCTTTAACTTAACAGGGTCAAGCCCACTTTCTCCTATTTTGATGTAAAAACTGGGGTCCCAAGTTTCAAATGGGTCGTGACTGGGGTTTTATTATATAGAGCACAAAGTTGAAGACCGTGCACAACCCCTCACCCATCTTTGCTTGAGTGTGACAAGCATCTGGTTTGCAAACCATGTACAATAGTTATTTGCCCTGGTGAATTCCTCACTGAAGCAAAGCCTGCACAAATTGCCTAAATCGGTAGTTTACAGCAGCAGGGTATAAGACAGTTTATCTGCCACCTATACCTCCAACGGTTCAGCTGTTGAAGCCAGTGCCCACAGCACCTGTGTCCTTGTCCACAGCACGTCTGTTATCCATCAGCAGCTAAGGGCAGGGCTTTCTGAAAAGCACAGCATCATTAAGACCATTCTCTCTGCACTTATTTTGTAGCACATGCACACTTTACAGTTTGTGACTGTAGGAAGACATACCCAGCATCAACCAACAAGCTACAACCCACTTTTATAATAGCTGTCAACATTCATGTCAGCTATTATTTTTTTTGTTGGAAAGGACAAAATGATATGCCTATGGAATCTTTTTTTGTTTTTGAGACAGGGTTTCTCTGTGTATGTAGCTTTGGATTTCCTGGCCTCCCTTTGTAGACCAGGCTGGCCTGGAACAGCGATCTCCTGCCTCCCTGAGTGCTGGGATTAAAGGTGTGCACCACCACACCTGGCTGAATCTTGCTTTTTTTTTTTTTTTTTAAAGTAAGACTATAACTCTTAAATGTTGTCAACACGTTGGAATGTAAATGTGATGGCTGTGGATCACAGGCAGGGAAGGAGGTCTAAGTTGCCTTTGAGCCTTCTCCTTTACCTCCTCTGCTAACAAAGCTAACTGTTCCTAATGTGTTAAACATAGGGAAAGGAGCATTCATGTTAACAGCATCATGAATTTAAAACCTGGCAATATTAAAGATTGAAGTGCACAGGGCCAAGCATAGTATTATGCTTATAATCCCAGCACTAGCCTGGGCTGTAGCAGTATACTGAGATGAACAAGTTCCTGGGAGAGAGGCGATAACACTGAAAATGAAAATGTGGTACCAGCATTGAGAGCTGCTACAGCAAGAACAAGACACACATGGTTTTAACTGCTGGAGTCATTTGCCTGCTCAGCTAAGAATTCTGGCCAGGCTATCATGCTCCTATCTATCATTGATTGGCACCTATTCCTTTAGACAGCTGATGTCTGGGGTATAAGTGGAGTTGTGAACTAGAGGTTATTACAGCACATGTCCCAGTCACATTTGGTTTTTGGTGGCTACAGCAAGGATGCCTTAAACATACACAACTAGTGCTCTACCACTGAGCTATAGTCCTTGCTCTTACCAACTCTGTCTTGATTGTGTTGAACACACTCATAGCATCTGTTCTGGTCACGTGTTTATCTGCATAAATCAGGTAAACCCTGGCACCTCCCAAATTCCTTCTTGGGAATTTCAACTGCTTTTGTAGACAGTAGTGTTAAACCAACACTGGACCCCTCTAAAGAGCAAAAGAAGAATTAGTGGGTGCTTCAGGAGCACTGTGAAAATCTCATTTGGATCTACGTAGTGTGTACCACTAGAACATTGTGCACACATATGCATGTGTACTTGCACAGTGGAGATCAAATGCAGACCTTAAACTTGTTAAGCAAGTGCTCTGTCTGCCACTAAGCTACACACATTCCAGCCTCTGCTGTGTGTTCTACTACCAGGTTACAAATAATTTATCAAAACTTACAAGTTAAGCCAACTGTTTTAGAAAAAGAACCCTGCTTTAAGAGCAGACTGGTGCAGAAGCATCGAAGTGCAGTTTCACTTTATCCAGTATGCATGAGCTAGTCACATCTCTGATGCGTCCAGGTGGCGTAACAATTAAAAAGGAGCAGGCTCAAAGACTACATAAGACAAAATGGAGACTACTTTTTAAATGGGATTGTCAAGACAGGCATTGGAATTTAGTGTCTCCTGGGTGTCTCTGTTGTACTGGGCAGTTGTCATGAGTTTGGATCTGAGACCATACAAAGAGAGTCATAGAGTAACTTCCTTTCAGGTCCTCTTTCCCAAAGGAACAAAATACCCAATACCTGCTTTGACCATTCTTAAGTCCCAAACTTTTTGACTTCCTACACCTTGGCCTCATCCTTGCCCTGAATAAATACTGTGTTCATTATGGACTCATGCAATCCAGGCTTGTGATCCTTGAATCCAAATGCTTACAGGCATCCATACCTGCCTTCTCCAAACCTTGATGTGGCCCTGCTCCATTTTCTGATTCAGATACCTTGCTAATGGCTCTTTTCCCCCTAAGCACTATCTGGTTCACCCCTCAAATTCTGATTTTCTATAATCTGAGTAGATTGTATGTCCCCAAACTTTAACCTAGTCAGAACTGGAGTTCAGAGATCCACTTTCTTCAGCTCATATGAGCCTTAAAATTCTTCCCTTTCTACCAACTCTTGTCATATAACTGTTACCCACGATTCTGACCCCACTATTCACTCCTCAGTCATGGTCTTCCTACAAGACCCTAACTAAAGCATAGAAAGAGTGCATGCATTCAGGTAAACAGTACCTTCCCAGGGCTGCTGTGTGGCTTTAGCAGACATGAAACTTTTGGACAAATAAATGGAGTGGGATTTTTTTTTTTTTATATGAAGATAAGCCCAAAATCATTCTTGGAGACTTTGTCTTACAAGATGAACTTTGACTTCATTAGGTGCTCTGCAAGAAATACCTCTATGAAATGCCCCATTTAGGAAGAGTACTCAAAATTACTCCAGGGAGTTAAAAAGAAAACCTAAAAGGGTCATTAAGCGGTGTGAAATTGAGATAGAAAACTAAAAACATCAAGAGGTTAAAAGTACTTTCACATCTAAAGATGTAGTTGTTTGTGGTCTGAGTGCTTGTCCATTTGTAGAAGGCCCTGGGTCCAAACCCTAGTACAGCATGATAGCTTACACCTGTGATCCCAGCACTTGGGAAGGTGGACACAAGGAAAACCAGAATTCAAGACCATCCTTGGCTATTCAAGGAGTTTGATGCCAGCCTGAGACACATGAGACCCTGAAAATAATGAAAGGGAGGGAGGGAGGGACTCACAAAAGAAAACAACCTGACAGAGTTCTGTCATGCTGTATGGATTTTTTTCAAAGCTCATGTGCAATCATAAACAGTATCTAGGAAAAAACAAAAGATGCAGGGGAAAGAATGAGAATGTGTGGTCAATTTGAACACATTAATAGTAAACTCCAAATTACCCATTATGTGTTGGTGTCACATTAAGGGAAAGAAATCAAAGCACTTTCCACTGATGTCATTTAACCAAGTGTGAGCCCAGATTTGAATTTCTATTTCATGTTCCCTGTGTCTTCTGTCCTTGCCCTCTAAATCTGTTACATGAGTCAGAATCTGTGCCTGCCTGAGGCTGTCATGTAAATCTATCCCTGTGTGTTCATCCATCCCAAAGGGCTTTGCTCTTTATTGAGCAGCACAAAAAGCATCCCATGGGAATGAATGAGTGATAACAGAATTTTTTTTTTCTGTTTTTCAAGGCAAGGTTTCTCTGTGTAGCTTTGGCTGCCCTGGACTCGCTTTGTAGACCAGACTGGCCTCAAACTCACAGAGATCCTGCCTTCCTCAGTGCTGAGATTATAGGTGTGCACCACTGTACCTGGCTGATAACAGAAACCTTTAACAGAGTTTCACAAAGGATTAAGTCACAGACCCCAACTGACCCAGATAATGGTATTTCAAACACTACTGTTTATCAATCAATATTCAAATATTGTGTTCAACATTTGTGGTGGATATTCATTTTAGAAGGTTGCTTTCAACTTCTGTATTTGCTATTTTCAGCAAATGGTACCCATGCACTACTCTGGATCAGGGACATGAAGAATACATAACTTAAGATTACAGCTGTGCACTGGGAAATCCAAGGACAAGTAAAGGTGACTATTAACATTGTTCTCTTAAAGGTGGGTTAAATAGCTGAGTATACAGTAGGATAGGAGTCTTAAGTCATAAGTGACCTCAGAGTGTACTAACTGCCTGTGAGCGGCATTAAAAGGTCCAGTCCAGTCTCTTGGGAAGATATATTTTTGTAATATTGCATCATCACAAGAGAGGACCGAAGACTAACATTAAATATTATTTAATTAAAACAATCTCTACTATTCCATATAGAAGATGGACTGATGAAATGGGAACAGAACCTAGATAAAGGGCTAAGCCCATAAAAATGTCATAGATCTGTCCTATCTACGTGTAGACTCAAACTAGTCATAGAGAAGATGGACTGTTCAGGCACAAGCAGGTTACCCGCTAGGGAAAATTAGGTTTGTTTCTTAATGTGTAGTTTGTACTAGGATCTGTTTCAAGGGATCAGAATTTAGAAATGAAAATGCAAAACCATCAATCCTTCAGAAGGAAAAAAAAAAAAAAAAAAGCCGTGGTTTACTGTCTTGGTCTGAGTGAGGAAGACAGTCTACGAGCTGCTATAGAAACCAGCAAAGAACTGGTATAGGAAATCAGAACAGAAAACCATCAGGACAAAGCCAGGTAACAAATTGGAAGACTATGCAGCCAGTCACACTTGAAGGATTACACCCTAAACAGGTGAAGTTCCAAATACCATGCAGTAAAAAAGTGCACAAAGAACATGGAACAAATTCAGGGGACTCCTCATTAAGAGTTGTTAATTTTATATATTTAGGTTAAAAATGAACATTTTAAACTTACATTCTCTCAGAATGTCCAAGCCCAGCATTTGGACACCTTCTATGATGGTGAGGTTGTGGGTGAGCAAGCACAGGTGATGTGCTCTGGAGGGCAGAATCTAAGTCAGTGCCTTTCAAAACTACAAGTGTGTGTGTATTCTTTCACTTTTGAATACTTAGAGAGGTATGTATACATATGTGATATGATATGTGGATAAGGTCTAGAAACAACCCAAATGCTCAAGAATGGAACTGCTTAACTAAATAATGGCATAGCCATATTAAAAATTCCAAGTACCCACGAAAGTGAAAAAGTTATCTGGTGATATGTGGCCACTGAAATACTAGGTGATAAAAGCAGATGGTGTGTATGTCATGTTATTCCAAGTAAAGACACAAGAGAAATGAGGCTTTATATTTGTATATGTGGGCATATTGGGGAGAAAAAAAAAGGTATGAATGGAGATATAAAAAGCCAGGGGCAGAAGGTATGTGTGCGCACTATGGGAAGCTGGGAAGACATTGTATTTTTAGTATATACTGTGTTTTTTAACTATGTGAATGTATCAACTGTTCAGAAAGTTAAATAAAAGAAGCATTTTTTAAAGCCTATGACTCAATAGAAATCACAGAATTCCTACATTTTGATAAAATGTTAATAGGCCATTACAGAAAAAAAAAAGACACAAACAGCCCACACTAGCAGCAGAGGCTCTGGAATCATGGATTCTGGTGGCATGATCAGGCCCCACAACCATGAGTTATGTGCCTGGCTGAGCGTCATCTGTGTTCATGCTTTAGGAAACAACTGTACTTAGCACTAGTGTGCTAGTGATGAGCTGTTGCATGCGGAAACCTCAGCGCAGAGCCAACGTCTGCCGTCATGACTGCAAGAAGAGCCCCCTCAGACCATGCAGATCCAGTAGTTACGTATGTGTGTGTGTGTGTGTATATATATATATATGTGTGTGTGTGTGTGTGTGTATAGATATATATAGATCCCTGATCCATAAGTTATAATCACATTCTTGTAAGAAGCACTCAGTATGGAGGAGGGGAAAACAAAGAAACAGAAGATTGCAGAAACATGTATTTTAATTCATGGTCTAGATTCTGGTGGATACAAGAGCAAATTATTTGGAATTCTGCTCGGGAAACTCAAAGCTGCATCTGCAGATGCTATTTCAATCAAAGGACGTGGATTTATGTACTTAGCCTGTACCAAGGAATTTCCATGACACCGGGTACCTGCTCTGAGCCTTTTGGTGACTAGCTATGGCTTCTGCGGGAACTTCAGTCTGCAAACTGCGAGAGGCCTACTGTGAACTGTTTTCAGGTGTCCGGCTGAAGGCAATGCTGAGGAAGACCAGCACAGTTGTCCTTCCTTGTCTACAGTGGCACCTAGGCAGGGCTGAGAAACACGGCACAGCATTTCATACACACGATGCAGGGGCTCAACATTTGACTTGTCAGGTTTCAAAACTAAAATCTTGTTTTGGCTAATGCTCCACATAATCCGAAACAGGAAGAGCACTGAGCACTGACCATTTTAGTGTGTAACGTCTGTCTAACACAGATGCCACAGGAAAACAAACAGGCCACCAAGGGAAAATACTTCCTCTTCACGATCATGGCACCAGGTACAATCATTTCTGTCAGTTTGGATGTCGAGTGCTAGATTTTTAAGCACAGGTGACAGAACTGGCAGACAGCTTTTTAAGGGTAGACTCACCGCCAGGGTTACCAAACAGTGCTACAGTCTCCACAGTCCTTAGATGTCATGGCAATGTTGGCCATGCAAAAGGATGTAAAGGTTAATATAACAAACACCAAATCAGAATACTTCCCTACTGAAGAAATTCATTACAACCGCGAGGACATGGTAACTTAACCATTTCTTTCAGCTTCCAAGAACACACTCTATGCTGCTGTGTGTCCTAGCCTGCAAGTGGAAATGAGGATATATTTTTTTCCTCAAGCAAATAGTTTAAACAATAGTATCTAACTGCAGTGGTGGTAAATGACATTTCCAAAACAAACTCTGCATTTAAAATAAAAATAAAGTGCATTTTTTTCATATTTCCTTACATTCTAAGTGAGCTGCAGAACTTACTGCTGTACCAGCAAGGTCACTGGCATTCACTTTGTGGACTTTTTGTCTTACAGTGGCCTCCTCCCATTATGTGGTAATACTTGACTCTTTAAAAAAATAAAAAGCAAAGAAAAAGGAAAATTGCAAGAGATCTTTAAAAAATAACCTACAAAATTCACCACTCTCAACATTAAGTTTCTAAAGATTAGGAATTAGGAGCAGAAATAACTAATGAGGCTTCAGTCCCCCATCACACCTCCACAGGGGAAGACTAGGCATTAATGGGAATAAACCAACTAAATAATCTGGCACACACCATGAAGTCACAGGAGCACAGTTCAGACTTTGGCAGATAAGATGTGGGTTTAAGAGCACTTACTGTTTACTTCAGAAAGACGGAATCTAAGGAGATGTGAGACTTTGGACTCACATTCCACACAGATAAAAACCTTTCAAGTAATCCCATTATCCACTGCCACCTTTAAAAGAATCAAGATTTAAAATATTGAAAAGACTTTACAGGTTTCGAAAAGGATAGTCTAGGGCCTTCAAGTCCTCCACTGTCTTATGTCACACCAAGGATGGCTGATCTGGGATGAACTGAAGATGGAGAGGAAGGAGGAAGCGACACTCATGCTGAAGCATCTCACCAAACAGAATCACACAAAGAGGTAGAGGATTGCATAGATTGTGTTCAAAATCAAATATTTAAAATGCTTACTTTAACACAGCAAAATTTGTGCATAATGCAATTAGCATTATAAGCCCATAGGATCCCATTCAAATTTTGTGAAGAAAAAAATCCATTAAATAAATAGGACTTTTCATAAAATAAATGAAAATGTCTATAATTAGGAGAGGGACAAAGAGAACAGTCAGAAGGGGAGCTGTAGGCTTTAGGTAGAGGACACTCTTGAGCTAGCCTGGGGTACACAGGCCAAGTGAGCATGGGAGGGCACTTACCCACCTTCACCAAGGCAGGTCCCTTTAGGCCAAAACCAAAGCAGCAACAGCAACTAAACATCTTAAAATGGTCGAAGTCCTGGGAGATCATCCAGAACCTCTCTCACTAGTCACTGAAAGGCCTATTCATTATAGTGACAGCCCTGTGTTACGGAAGATGACACACAGTGTCAGGCAAGGCTAAAACACTAACTACACCATTGACGAATTTCTGTCACTGAGACCAGCCCTAGGCAGCACTGGTTCCCTAGTTCTTTTTCTATAACAGACTGAATAGTCTTCTCAGGATAGACACAGTCATTTAAAATTTGACAACTAGAAATGAAGGGTAATACAATACAAACAAGACCAATGTGGAACAAACATGGGATAGTATAACTTGCAATTTTAAAGTATATACTTCATTTATAAATAGCTCTAATTGGTATCTATTAAGGATCATAAATATTCAAGTGGACATTTGAACTTCTTCTTTAAGAGTTCAGAATTCTTCAAGTCTTAGACACTTAGTCTCTCTGCTCAGTGTCCAAGGCTAAAAGGCTTCACACAGTTCGTTATGTCTATGGCGACATAGAAAAGTCTTCATTACCTCCTGTTCTGCAATAACGCTTTAAAGTTCTGTAATTCTCTTATGCTTGTAGAAAGCCTGCAGGAGGAGAACAGGTACATATTATACATACGGCTGACATGAAGTAACGTGCATACATTTCAAATAGCCAATACTGGTTCCTTGAGCTATATAACCTAGAAGTAAAAATCTAAAAGAACCAAATACTGACCACTGTGAATTCCATTTGAAATAGAAATGCTGTAACTCCTATTAAAACTGAGAGATCACAGAGCCTTAGTTCGGCTTGCTTAAAAGGGAAACAAACAAACAAACAAACAACTCATCTTCTCATCAAGACCATAAATGAGAGCCAGGTGTGGTCGTGCATGACTTTAATCCCAGCACTTAAGAGGCAGACAGATCTGAGTTCAGGGCCAGCCTGGTCTACAAAGTGAGTTATAGGACAGCCAGGGCTACACAGAGAAACCTTGTCTTGAAAAATAATAACAACAAAAAGACTGTAGATGAGCGATGGAAACAGTGCCATGAATAGCTCACAAATATTTGGTGTCTCCTACACAGTCACTCCCAGTGCCTATTTATATTTATGGCATTGTGTAAGTGATTAGTGGCTCAATGAATAAAAAGTTCAAACCCAGAAGTAAAACTCTGGGAAAGGAAGAAATGAAAAAACTACAAGTTCATTTTTCCTTATGTATAAAACTCAGGGTTAATGTAACAAAATCCAGTAATTCTCTTCTACAGACTGGTGATACAATGTACCCTGCTAACTGCTTTTTTTTTTTCCTTTACCCCAATATTTGAGGAGTTTCTGTTTATTGAGAGCTTAGGAGGTTCCAGGAAATGATCTGAGTCCTTCAAGTGTCCATACTCAATAAACCTAAAGAATGCAACAACAAAAGGTGGCTAGAACGTTGCTCTTACATTTCAGGTAAAATTAGGATCAAATCAACTATTTTTTCAGGATCCCCCAGCTAGTAGGTGGGTTCTAAATGGGGCACTGTGTCTGCTGTATTGCTGGCAAATGGCAGGTCAAAATCTCAGGACTCCAAAACTGGCTTCCTGGCCAGCACACCTAGAGGGAAAACAGGCTCTGGATATAAGGTTGAAGCTAGAAGGGAACGTATCTGAGAGCCAATGAAAATTTGATTAAATGGTCAACTTAATTTTTCCTTTTTCACTTTTGTTTGTGCTTAAAATGTTATTTAAGATCTTTCTCATTTCCGTTTCATTCCAAATAATTTACATTTCACCTAGGTACTTCTATCTTATTTTTCTCCAGGCCTCAAAAATATGTAGATTTAATATTTCCTGAAATAAAACAACACAATCAGCACTCTGTCTACCTTGTGGTTTGTATCTCAGTTATCGCAGACATCTTTAACTACAGGAAAGAGCTGGGCACAGCACTCCACACCTACAACTAGCACTAGGGGCTGAAGAAGGATCACTCAGCTTGCACTAGAGCATAGCCCTGCCTACATAAACATAAGCACACTGGGGAAATGGTGAAGGCTTTGACATTAGGCTGGGACATATCTAAGTTATGTTTGAGTGGTTGGTCTCCTTTGAACTTAACATCATATTCGCCAAACACATTAATCGCTGTCATTTGGTCCCATTTTAAAAATAAACTTTCCACCATGATTTGATGCATTTTTCCCTGCTGTTACAACACAACACATTGTTTTGTATGACTCTTTCCCTTCTGTTTTATATCCCCCAACACTGCATACAGCTCTATAGGCAAATTCAAGTTATGTTTAAAACCATTTCTTATATATATATACACATACATGTATATATATATACATATGCACATACACACACACACATATATATGAAAGAATGAGGTAGTGGTGTGGGAGAGGATGACTCTTCAGCTTAGGCAATACAGAGCAGAGGAAGGGTGTCATGTCTTTGACATTTTGATTACCTTCGCAATCATGTTTTCCTCCTCCTCCTACGGTAGCCAGCCAAAGAAATGATTATTAGGAGACTATTTCCCTTAGGAAATTGAGAAAGCAAACTGAAAAGTACAGAACTGGAAACTATCAATTCTTCCTGGGATTGACAGACAACTTGGCTGTCAGCCTGGAGGACACACTGAGCAATGAATTTAAGGTGTTTGTTTGAGACAGGGTCTTACTACATAGGCCAAGTTGGCCTTGAACTCATGATCTGCCTGCCTCAGCTTCTCAATGCTGGGGTTATGAGTGTGTGCCATAACATCTGGCATTTTAACTTTTTGTCACAAACCAAATCAAAGCATACATTGAGGAAAAAGGCAATCTTCGCAGAATACGGAAACCTGCAGGAAAATCAGGTCTCAGCTTACCTTCCAAACGCATTTAAAAGAGCAACTATTTCCTGCCGAGTGAGCTGGAAGCCTTTAGATGGACTGTTCTCCGGAAGTTTTTGGATTTCTTTTTCAGAGAATAGTATCTTCAAGGCAGTTCCTAAACCCTGAGTCTGAAGGAAATATTCATATATTTATAATTAACCTTGCACAGTAGCTACTATGAAGTACCCAGTGAAGACACTGAAAACCATGAGGGAGCTGGAGAGATAGCAGAAAGAAATGCTTGCTGCCCTTCATCCATTGGCTCATAACCACCTGCAGTCCCAGCTCCAGGGATCTGACACCCTCTATTGGCCTCTATGGGCACACACATACCCCTAAATAAAAACAAAATTAATCTCTTTTTAAAATCCTATGAACTGAGCTTTACAACACAGTACTGGACTATGCACGAAGCAATGTCTACTCCCTAACAGTGCTCTCTCTCTCTCTCTCTGTTTCTCTCTCTCTCTCAATCTCTCTCACACACACACACACAAACACAACCCTTCTCAGGAAAACTTGATCAACCTGATACTTGCTGAACACATTTCATTTCCATTGCAGATTAGTAAAATGCCTGTTTTTATCGTCAGAACCACAGTATTTGACTTGTAATCTTAAAAGCAGTATTTTTTTTTTTATTTTTTTGTAGTACTGGGGGAATCAAACCCTGCTTTACCCCAGCTCTACAGCTCAGGCCCATTAAACACAATTGCTACATTTACAGCGCTTAGCAATTCACAGTTCCAAGAGTACTGAAAAGTGATCCTACACTAATTTCTCAGCACTGAGGAAAAAAAAAAAATTATTTCATCACAGCTGCCTTTAAAATAATTCTATCCCACCAGTACTGTGTAATCCCAGCTGGTGCAGAAAGACTACAAATTTGTTGATGCCTTGAGTACAAAGTAAGACCCTATATCAAAAAAACAAAACAACTATCCAAACAAAATTAATTAAATTTACTTTTTGGTTTTCGGTAATTATCATCTTCGTAAGAAAATAAGAGAGCTGTGTGGCAGCTCTTTAATTTAATCTGCCTTTAATCCCAGCACTCAGGAGGCAGATGGATCTCAGGCCAGCCTGGTCTATAAAGGAAGGTGTAGGACAGCCCTCTAAGAGGCTGTAGCCAGCAGCTGGTTGAAACAGATGCTGAGACTCATAGCCAAACATGGGTTAGAGCTTAAGCCTTGCTGGAAGTGTGGGGGGAAGAATAGAAGGACTCAGAGGGGACAGGAACTCCACAGGAACCAACAGTCAACTAACTTAGGCTAGAGGGGACTTACAGAGACTAAAGCACCAACCAAAGAGCATGCACAGTCTGGACCTAGGCCCCTCTATATTTGTCTGTGACTTATGGGCAGCTTGGTCTTCCTGGGGGGTCCCCTAGAAAATGAAACGGGGTGGGGTGAGGATGTGCAGTTGGGGTTCTGGCATGGACTTTGTTGCCTGCTATTATATCACTTCCCCCTAGCAGACTGCCTTGCCTGGCCTCAGTGGAAGAGAATGGGATCAATCCTGATAAGACTTGATGTGCTGGGGTGTGTTGATATGGGGGTAAGGGACCTCCCCTGTTCTGAGAAGAAGGAGTGGGGGCAAAAGGGGAGGAGGACAGGAGGGTGGGACCAGGAGAAGAGGAGAGAGGGGTTTTCAGTCAGGATATAAAGTGAAAATAAATAACTTAAAAAAAAAGCTCCAGGACAGCCAAAGCCACATAGAGAAACCCTATCTCAAAAACAACAATAAAAAGGAAAAGGAAAAAAAGAGGTAAAAATTAAACAGTCCTCTGTTCCCTGAAGATTCAGACCTGCCCTGCAGAACTTTTGCATTTTGTGCTCAGCAGCTTTTCACCACTGAAACAAACCATGTCCAAAATGTCATGCTTAGTATTTACATATTTTACTTTTTCTAAATAAAATTCTCTATCTGTAACCAACATAAACATGAACCTAGGACGGTGCAAAGACACAGAGTACAAAAATGTCTTTGCTCACAGATCTGCAGCATAGTTTAGAAGCAGAGTTTATCTTTCAATAATATCACAGAAAAGCCACACTTAGATCTGCCTGTTTCCAAACATCAATTCAGTGATCAACAAAGATATCTTGATAAAACTGAAGTAAGCAGAAGAACAGTTTGAAAAGGAATAACACCACACACACCTGCAATTTTCCCCACAATCTGCATTTATCACACCCAACACAGTCCATGATGCGGGAGATGTTCTTGAAATGTAACCGGAATTCCTCCTGTTATGCAGAAAATATCTGAATTAGACTTTTTAAATTAAGCCACATTTGGTTGAATTATATATATAAAACAAAATTTTAAAGTCTACAAGTGATTAAAGTGTTTCTCAGTAGTAAAAAGATCTGAATTCCTATAGCACAACATAGTACATTAAAACAGTGGGCATTAATAGAGACATCAAGATTCATGCTGTACATTATTTCAATACACTTTCCTGGGGAAGCATTTGAATGAAGGACTGGAAGGTTAACAGTGTGAAGCCTTGATTTGTAAGAATTAAGCAGTTGCTGACACCGAATAGCTTCTTAAATATAGTTTGTCAGGGTATTTTTTCACAGCAACGGAAAAAGTAACTACTGTAAAACCTACTCAGAATGTTGGTCCTAGAAAAGATCCAGTTGTAAGTAACTTCTTAACGCCATTCTGTGTCATAGGTCAATCAACAACCAATGATCCCGTTTACAGCAAAATCCAATCACACTGACATGAAAATGTTGGTTAGACAACGGAAAGTTTGCATGAATTAACGACATTCTGTGTCATAGGTACCAATCAACAATCAATGATCCGTTTACAGCAAGATCCAATCAGACTGACATGAAAATGTTGGTTAGACAACGGAAAGTTTGCATGAATTAAGATGAAAACAAAACAAATGGTTTCCACACTACCCTCAATTACCTTTAATGACTTGGCCCCCTTTTTGTCACCTGCAAACATGGATTTCTCATCGAAGTGCATGGGAAAGGACCTGATGAAATGACAAAACCATTAGGAAATTACCAATGAAAAAACCCAAGTACTTGTCTTAAAGTTTTGCTAAAATTTTGTAGCCCTACAATATTTAAAATCTGCTGTTTATTTATAATGTAGGACAGCTCATATATACACTAAGACTACAACAAGCTACATTTGACTTAGTATTTTAAAATGCTGGAGAGATGGCTCAGTGGTTAAGAGCATTGTCTGCTCTTCCAGAGGTCCTGAGTTCAATTCCCAGCAACCACATAGTGATTCACAATCATCTATACTAGGCTCTGATGCCCTCTTCTGGGCGTCAGATAAAAGCAGATAAGAGTACTCATACTTTGCAGTCAGTCCTGAAGATTCCTGATAAACCAGGGTCAGATGAAAGGGGAGGAAGTCCTCCCCTATCAGTGGACTTTGAAAGGGGCAGGGAGGAGATGAGGGAGGGAGGGTGGAATTAGAAGGGAATGAGGGAGGGGGATACAGCAGGGATACAAAGTTAACAAACTGTAACTAATATTAAAAATTTTTTTAAAGACAATAAAAGAGTACTTATACATGTAAAATAAATAAATATGTAAAGAAAAAAAAAGACTGCAATATCTTAAGAAAATCAGCAAAATTATTTAAAAGGGAAAAACAATCTCCCAGTATGGCAACACTCAATATTCTTGTACACTTTAAAATGTACTTTACTTTAGTTCCTTCCCCATCTACTTCTCCTTCATGATTGTCTTAACAACCAGTGAATGTGTTCTACAGGCTAAGGATGCTTTAAAAGGTTACATTTTGAAAAGTAACTAGTGTCACTTTGTATGTTCACTGTAATGTTCATACACTGTGACACTATGCAAGTTCAAGCAGTAATAGAAAGAATACCAAATGAGTGGAACATAAAACCTTAAACTCTTTATTAAATATAAAGCACTTATTTTCAAGTGTAAACACCTCTGCAGGTGAGCTACAGAGAAGCTTTTTGCTCAGCATCTGTAGCACTTTTGTGCTATGACTGGTCATCTTCTCTGTGCCTCTCTTTTCTAATGTCTGCTCAGGTCTTTATCACCCCTAGCTCCAAGCTCCACAGCATCTGAGCAGTGAAGGATTCCAGGATACTGACATCCAGGTCTTACTTTGTGTCCTGAAAGATGCTGAGCAGAAGGGTCTTGGTGTCAGCATCTTCTTCCAAGTTGCCAGTATAAAGATCAACAATCGAGCGTTCAAAATAAGGGGCCACCTTTGACAAAGCACGAAGCTCTATCAAGTATAAAAAGTACAGATTCTTCAGCCTTCTTGGACCTTCCCCCTTTGTTTCCACAGGGTCAAAGCGACGTTTAAATTCTTTGATGTTAGGTCCCCAACTAGGTTTACCCCAGGTTTCTGAAAAGAAAGAAAGAAGGAAGGAAAGAAGGAAAGAAGGAAGGAAGGAAGGAAGGAAGGAAGGAAGGAAGGAAGGAAGGAAGGAAGGAAGAAAGGGAAGGAAGGAAAATACATTGTCTTTTAGTATAAAAAGGTTTTAGTTTTGTCCAACAGAAAATGTATTTTACTTTCTAACACTTTCTGTGATATTTTAGAAGTTAAAAAAAAAATTCCCATTTAAGAAATCTGATTACCTTCCAGAAGATAATTTGCACACAGATGTAAATTGATGCTGGCATGAAGTCCCGATATAAGCTTATAAAAGACTCTTTTCTCAAGACACAAACCTATTCAGAAAAACACAGAAAAAGAACCCATGCCCATTAGATAAAGAATATTTAATAAAAAACAGTACATGTGTTTCAGGGGCATAGTTTTGGCTGAAATGTGCAGTGTCCCTGCAGGTTTGGGTTTGGGGTGCTTGTTGCTCTGGGGGGGCCTAGCTAGAGGACATACAGCAGTGGGGACAGGGCCAGGGAGGCAGTACAGCTGTCCTCTACTACACATTCTCTCTGTCATGATGTTCTGCTCACAGGCTCAGAGCCAAGTAGCCATGGAATGAACTCTCTGAAATTCTGGGCAGCATAAATCTGTCTGTGTGTGAGAAGTTCCTGTCAGCTATGTTGGTCCCTTGACATAAAAGTAGCTAACACAGACAATAAAATCAAATCAAGATATAATATACAGACAATTAGGTGGAGATTTCCACTAGAAAACACTAAGATTCTTGTTTCAGAATGGACTTAACTGAGTATGATGAAAACTTAACACAGGCCTGGCCCTGAAGGTGGCCCAAAAACTGAATATATGTAAAAATGTTTTTCATAAGAGGGTTGTAGTTTAGAATAAGAATGTACTAAACACAACTATAACAATGAAGTCATTGCTTTGCCTTAGCTGTGTCTTTCCATACCTTCCCGCTGTGTTTTTTTTGGAATCTACTTTGTGGTGGAGAAAGAAGGGCCTTTATGTCCTTTTCTTTTGTCCTGTGAGGCTCTAATTCTATCTAATGACAAAAGGCTCTCAGGAATTTACACACACACACACACACACACACACACACACACACACACACCTGTTGAGTATTTACAATACAAGTCAAGTCCCACCAAATGGAATTCAAGGATGTGATGCAAAGTCACTTTATGTAACTTCCTTAACCCACACAGGCTTCTGCTCAAAATTTATGGCAAATACCAACATAATCCTGTAATCTTATCCTACTCCTGCTATCCTATAAGATTTTCTCTTACAGTGACAAAGATTGTAAGTCCACTTAGTGCCACCAACTTAAAAATGGCTAAAAATGGCTAAGATGAGGCTGGAGTGAGGCTCAGTAGCCAAGAATATGGTTAGCACGCCCATGACCCTGAGCACAACTTCCAGCACTAAAGTAAAAAAATAAATAATTCCTCAAGGGTAACATCGTAGTTTACACTGTATTAATAGGCCACAATAAAAAAATTTGGTGAGTATATTTATAGAAAATTTAAAAATAAATGAAATTGCAAAATAATAAATTTAAACTAAGATTTACTTTATGTACAAGAATGTTTGTTTGCATGTATGTAGGAGTACTATCTACCTGTGTGATACCTGTGGAGGCCAATGGATCCCAGGAAACTGGAATTATAAAGGGTTGTGTGCTGCCCACTCAGGTCTTCTGCAAAAGCAGCACAGAACCATCTCTTATGTCTTCTGAATAAAAAATTTTAAGAATCTGCTAGATGCAGCTTTTCTTTACCACCTAAAAGGCTTTTTTGTTTTTGTTTTTGTTTTTGACAGGGTTTATTTGTTTTAGCCCTGGCTGTCCTAGAACTCACTCCATAGTCCAGATCTGCCTGCCTCTGCCTTCTGGGTGCTGGGATCAAAGGTGTGTACCACCTCTACCCCGCTTGTTTGCTTTCTTTTTAACAACCTTCCCTAATGTGGACAGTAGGGCATAGTCACATTTATGTGCCAGGAGAATTTTCTTAATATGAGAGCACCTATGAGCCTTACTGTTACAGCTTATCAAGGGCTCTCAGAACATTGGTTCACTCCTTACATCTTACTGCAGAAGGCTCTGAAGCAAACATCCTCAAAATAGGAAAAACAGTTCTTTTGGGATCTCATTCTTTGATTCAAAATGTTAGAGATTAAATTTTATTTTGTAGCTTTCTCCAGAAATCACATAGCCAATTTTAAATGTTTATAACAAGGCTATAAATAAAACAAAGAGATTTACTAAAATATTAAGTATTAACTTCCAGAAAAATTTCATAGGCAAGAAGCAATTTATCCAATTTGAGGTTCAGTAAAAACTCCTTCCAACCTACCCATGTAAGCAGTGCTCCTGTTTTACAAAATGGCCAAAGGCTAGAGAAGGGACAGCAAGTAGAGCCAAGTTCATGAAAATTAACAAGCCTAAAAAACAGAGCCTGAGAAACTGAGAGGAGTTCCTGTTTACAGACCTCACGGAGCCTGTAAGCTGGGGTAGAGCAGGTGCAGGGGGAAAGTGGAACAGAAGCGCACTTCTGTGAACGGGGTGACCTCAAGCAAAATGTGGACATACAAGATGTGCCAACTGACTACATGAAGACGACACACAGCACTAGGAGGAGATGCTGGAGACCTTCTGGCCCAGCCTGGTGCCCAGAATGGGTGGAGCTGTGCCTACAAGAGCAGACAGAAGCTTCTACCTCTTGCTCTGAAGTAACACACAAAAGCCAACCTACAAAGGCAATTCCACCAACTTCTACTTCTGAATACACAGCAAATAAGACTAACCAATTTAGGGGGATCTCTTTTAACTTTAATGGCATTAATTTTCAACAATGGGTTTAGGAGACACGGAACATATGTAAAAATGTTTCTCACAAGAGGGCTAGATTTACTACCGCCACAGAATTGTTTTGCCTTTGCCTATCACCTCGCTTTTTTCAAGGATTTCTTACTGGCATCGTCTCTACTGACAGTGTAGGTGGCACACAACTATTAGTACTCTCCAGCTCCAAAACTATCTCAGGAAACTTTCTCAGGAAAGGCTGGGCCAGCTGCCTGTAGCTAGAAGTACATGTGAACTACATACTCACATTCAGGGACTCCAAGCAGCCGGGAGCTGAGAGTTGATGCCCAGTGCCGAAGGTCAAACACTGACAGAGATGTGTGTTTCGTCCATTCTCATCACAAGTTTCTGACTCTCTGAGTCTCAATCAGGAGTGTCCAACTTGTGACCCACATGTAACATACATCCCAGGATATCTATCAATGCAGCTAGTACATTTGTAGACCCCAATATCATGTCAGTGTCAAAATGTTGGGCACCTCTGTTCTTAATTACTTTCCACAATGTTCACCTTTAGAACATTGAGGAAAACATGTTATGTGGAAAAATTATGCATCTTTTACTAAAGGTCATTTTCCAATACAACTCACAACAGTATTCACACAACATGTTCACTCTAAGAACAAACAAATTATGTTCATAAATCAATTAACAACCAACAGAATTGACTACATAGAGTTTAACACTATCCTGGAAACTCATGGCTGTGAAACAATGCTTTCACTCCATCATTCAGTTTGCTAATCTTCTATTAATATAAAACAGTATAGCATTATTTCAAAAACATCATTCTCCCAGTTACTAACCAAGACTGTTAAAACTCCTATAGAACTTAGCTTTTAATCTATAATATTTTATATTTCCAATATGGAAAATATGAAGAATGAAAAATGCTCTGTAAACTATATTGCTTTAAATTTTTATTAGACAAATACACAGTGTATGAACATGAGCAAACATGAATTTAATTCACCTTGCCGTGTTTTACACATCACAAGTGCTTCCTTACTAAGGAAAACATCTCTGCTTTAAAAGCAGACTTGTTTGCTAGTTACTAGTAAAATATGGATAAGACAGAGGAGCCACTCGGGAACTCCTAAGAACCCTTCAAGCCTGTGAATTCATTTGGTATTGATTTCTGGATGCCCAATATCCTCAAAATTTTCACATAATTTTATCAAAAAATGTAACAAACTAAACCATGTTATTTTTCCTTCAAATATTGTTAAATATCAGTTGTCTAGATAGTCAACCACAGATAAGAAATTTACCTTCTAGCCATGTATAGAACGATTCTCCTTAAAAACAAAAACAAGAATTTGGTTAAAATATTTTAAATATTCATGTATAAACAATAAATCAGGTCATTTGAGGACTACCTCTAGAAATGTCTACTCCTTTTAGACTAAATAGCAACATGGGCATATGTTTCTAGAAAAACCCACAGATGATTTAAATAGTTCTAGAGAATATTCTAATAAATATTTTGATTATTAAAGTATATGCTAAAAATTTTCAGTGTAAATAGTAAAATATATCTTATTCATTGATGGTTTAAATCCAAAAGCATAGGAGCAAACGTAATAAATCTGAGGTAACAAGCATAATTACATCAGCAAAACACAAATACAAAAGCTAAATTATAATTACTCATTTTTTCGTAACCCAAAAAAGTAGGTGTGCTTCCTCGATTATCTAAGACTAAATTTTAAAGGATAATTTTCAATGTAATCTTACTTGGAGTGGCTGTGACTCATCTGTATAGGACCCTGGAACTGAAGGGATGGTGACAAGAAATGCAGGACAGGGTTCCACAACAGCAGAAAGTTCTAGAGGTCTACTGTGGCATGATGACTAGAGTTAACAACAATGTGCTGTGCTCCTGTAAACTGCTGAGATTTTAAGTGTCTTTGCCACAAAAAAGCTAAGTATGTAAGTAAATATATATAGCACTGATCTTGTTTAGCTACACTCCACCACACATGCTTCAAAACACTGCTGATAAATGTACATAATTCTGTCACTAAAAGAAAGAAGAGCTGTTCCTGGCTCAATAATGCTCTTCTGAGTTAGGGAGGGAAAGAAAGGGGAGTGTTTCGGTACTTCCTGAGAGACAACAGTTAGCCCAGCCCACAGAGCTGCTGCCTGGTCTCTGGGAAAAACCTTGGGAGTTCCTCCCCCCCCCCCCCCAGTGCTGTGCCACCCCACCCCAAAACACCACCACAGCTTTCTGCACTCATCCACTCTACCTACCCTTGCTAAGAATTGTTAACTATCTCACTCAACCTCAACTTGCAGCTCCCTAAGCTTCCATGTGGCCTCTTAACCCATCCCTTCAGAGGATTTGAGGCTTTCCCACTGTCAACAGGTCACACTAGACCTTCCTGCTCAGCTTCCAGGCTCCTGCTATTTCTTCCAACTAGCCCTTACTAGCTAATTCTATTGATCTACACCTCCTTTAATTCAGAATTCACTTAAAGGCCACTTATTTCAGAAAGCCTTTCTCCTTCATTCTCTCATCATGCATGAGGGTGCTTTGTTTTGAAAGCCCTTCCTGAGTTTCATCAGCTGGTCGGGCTGTATGTCTGCATTTCTGTATGTTGTGTTGGTTGTGTATTGCATTTACTTTTCTCTGTGCATCCTTGGCTTGCAGAGGGAACATGTGTATTTTATACATCCTCCCAGTCTGCCACTGAACACAGGTAAAAATATACCAATTGGAATAGTTTTTTTGGCTTTTTCACAGCTAATGCTAGAAAATAGTCTTTACAAGATTAAGTATAACTAAGACTGTAAGTTTCAAAGTCAATAAGAAAATAAAGAAGTCACAAATTATCTGATAAAAATAACTTTGCTAGCTGGGTATGGTGGCACATGCCTTTAATCCCAGCACTCAGGGAATCAGAGGCAGGTAAATTGCTGTGAGTTCGAGGCCAGCCTGGTCTACAAAGCGAGTCCAGGACAGCCAAGACTACACAGAAAAACCCTGTCTCAAAAAACCAACCAACCAAACTTTGCTATATTTCCTCAGAATCTTCATGTAGTTTTTTTTTTTTTTTAATTAGTATTCACTGTGCATGTAGATGGAAGGTGGGATTCATGAGTGCCACAGCATATGTGGTATGAAAGTCACAGGACAATTAAAGAGAATCAACTCTTTTCTTCCATTGTGTGGGTCCTTGGGATCAAACACAGGCCATCAAGCTTGGCAGCAAGTGTCTTTACCACTAACCTTCAAGATTTCATTAACAGAAAAGGAAGAACTTGGAAAATGGACCTAATTTATATATTTAGGTAAAATAGTCTCTATGCTTTTTTTTTTTTTTTTAACATAAGACAACTTTGCTACTAAGAAAATCTCACTTTTGATCACCATTCATCATTTCTGGGGAAAAAAAAATGGGCTAATCCAACTGCTTTTGGTAAAAAGAAGAAAAAAAATCAAAATTTAGTAGTAAAAAGTTTCTTCCATGGTTGAAGTAAACAGAAGCGTTGCAACTCACCATCATCTTCCCCTAAAGGAGAAAAGAGAAAGACATTACAAAATGCCTTACTCTGCTCAGATTCCAGCTCTGCTAATATTAATGCATGACTAATCCTCACCGTTAAGCTGTTCATTGTATGAACTCTGATCACTATTGCAGGCATCCTGCAAATGAGGCTCTTAACAAAAACGCAGGCCAAAGAGCACTCAATTTCCATATTCTACAAAACACAACTCATGGGGGAGGGGAGAGAGAAGAAGAAACTGAGAAGGGAGAAGGAACTTGCCCTGATGAGACAGGTCTATAATCCCAGATACTAGGGAGACTGAGGCAGTACCATCATTACTGAATTCAAGGCCTCCCTGGGTTATATGAGCTTTAGGCTGGGATGGCAACTCAGTTCGACTCTGGGGAGCTGGAGATGCAGCTGCGATAAAATGTTAGTGTGCACATTAAAGGACAGAAAGCAACTGAGATGGCCAGAGGCAGCTAAATTTAGTACTTGTCAAACATACAAAATCTCCTTCAGTCCCACATACCATCTCTGTAGACAGGACAGTTTCCATGCTGTGTACTACTTTAGATGGCTACTTTTTTTGGTAGACAGCCTAAACTAGAGTCAAGGACATCCTCCTGGGGTAGAAGAGGCCGGAAGGCTGACCTGGCTTCACTGTTGCTCTGCCTTTGTTGCCTCTGCCTTACAGATTCTGATGGGAGAGCTTATTTCTCAGAAAAAGGTTCTGTTTTGGAAAAATAGAAGCCTAGAGCTGACACTTCTTCAGGAACAGAGTGGAAGAAACGGCTGAGCAGGCAACACCCTCCACCACCATGTCAGTAGAGAGGCCACCATTACTCAGCCAGAGCTGCAGGCTTCTTTGAGCAGCCCAGAAGAGCTGTACCCACTCTCACTGCTTTTATACCTAGCTTTAGTAATCTGTCCCCTGTTTTCTTTTCCTCCTTCTCTTTGTTGATTTCTTTCCTCTCCTCATCTTTCTAACAGTTTCTTGTCTAATTTTATGGTAAATGGAAACAAAGTGTTTCTTTGGATTTGACATCTTTTGTTAAACAATTGTATTTCCTACTTTGAAACAAAGTAACCACAGAAAAGGTCTGAAGAAACACCTTCCTTAACGGTAACAGGAGACAGAAGACGGAGGAATCTCCTCCTGTCCTTTATACAGCTTCTAGAGTGTCTCAGTTTTTATAACATTTTATGTAATTAAGACATCAATGTTGAAGACACAAGTTATGACATAAAAACAGCAAAAGAGCTCCCTTCCCAAAAAAAAAAGTCATGAGCGCTGTGCTCTGTCCCAACTCTACCAGGCACTTTCAGAATGAACCTGGAGAATGGCATTTGGCCTGGACAAAGCCAGCAACTAAAAGCACTGCTTATGTTTAACCATTCCACATTTGGGCCTCAGGCCAGAAATGCAAATTTACATACGAATTTCAACTTTTTAACTCCATCTTGGCCTAAACTCTGAACTGGTAGGTCAGCTACAGGGTCAATCCCAGGAATTAGCTGCTCCTAGATAAGAGGATAAGGATGTCCTCACTGACCACAGCATGCTACACCATCTGAACAGCACACTAGCTAGTTCACATGTACCTTAAACAGCTATTTTTACAGGAAGAGTGTGTCTGGCCCTACCACCTCAGTATCAGATGCTATGGGCTACAAGTTCTGCCCAAACAAGAAGGTTCTATATGATGAACAGCAGTGTCAACGGCAGCTAATACTGCCACCATCTTTACATCAAGTTAACTAAACTTAAAATGTAAAATTTTAAGTTCAGGTTCACCATGAAAACACTTAATGGCCAGCTGGTAATTGGCCACTTTGTGGAACAGTACAGGGACTGGAGCATGTTGAAGGCAGCCTGAGTGCCTGTCCTGCCTCCTTCCTTGTAGGCATCCCAGGCAGCACAAAGACAGGTAGCCTGTTAGCTGAGGTGGGGCTCATTCCCCGTGTTTTGTGCTCATCTGGCTTCCAGGTAACCTGTGTGTACTCTGGAGAAGCTGTGATGAGCCCCTGACTCTCTACTTTAGCTGCGTATCACCAACTAAAACGGTGGTTCTCAACCTGTGGATCCTGAGCCCTTTGGATCTGAATGACCCTTTCACAGGGGTTGCCTAAGGCCATCAGAAAGCACATTACATTATGATATTTACATTAGATATTTAGATATCTAAGATATACATTAAGATATACATTAAGATATTTACATTATGACTCATAACAGTAGCAAAATTACAGTTGTGAAGTAGCAACAAAAAATAATCTTATGTTTGGGGGTTACCATAGCATGAAGAACTGTATTAAAGGGTCGCAGTATTAGGAAAGTTGAGAACCACTGAACTGGAGTGTTTAAAAACATGGGGGGACTGGGGGACTGGGTCCTTATTCTGGCTTCTTGGTTTACTGTTGTAGAGAAGGACCCAGGCCTCCAGAATTGGAATTTCTCAGGAAATCTGTGGTATGTACGCTCACATCCTCTAATCCACCCCACACCAAGCTCCCAGGTTAGGACCTGGCACAGAGCTCCAGAAGACATCCAGCCTATTAATTCATGCTTGCGTTAATCACTAAAATGAAGCAAAACATAAAATTGTTGCTTTGCTTTTCTTCAACTTGAGAAAGCATGAAATGTATGGACACCCACCTCGGCTGGGCGCCAGAGGATTTAAAGGACGATATACAGATCGGGGCCTGAAAAAAAGCACAAAGCTCAGCTGTAAAATGGTTCGGCTTGTTTGAATCGCCTTTACGAACGAACACAAACATCTGCCTCCCCCTCCGTCCCTCCATTACTTGAAGCAGTTTTCTTCGTAGATGCTGTTCCACACCCGCCATGCCGAGGAGCCCTTGTAGCCAGTGTACCGCTCCGGGTTCAGCAGCAGGTCCACGTACTGTGCAGCTGGAGACCGCTCATCTGTCAGGAACAAGTGGTAAGGCTGCTCGGCCTCACTACTCACCTACAGCTTGGCATCAAAAACAGCGACTCCACAAGCAGGACGGTCCTGGTTCAGGTCACCTCCAGCTCACACAGTGGAGCGGTTTGTCCCTGTGACTGCACCTGACCCTGAATTTGGAGATCTTGGACAAATCACTCGAGAGAAAAGAACAACCCCTTCCTTTCTTTGGCTTCTCCAAGATAAGTAATGTAACATTTTCCACTTCAGTTGTAACCACCCAGGAATAAAAAGAAATAACAAATTCAGATTTATGTGGTTTTTTTTTTCTTTCTGTAATTATCTCAACATAGACTCAGAAATAAGTTTTTGTTTTTGTGACAGGGTTTCTCTGTCTATGTAGCCTTGGCTGTCCTGGAACTCACTCTGTAGGCCTGGCTGGCCTTGAACTCATAGAGATCCACCTCTGCCTTCAGAGCACTAGGATTAAAGGCATGTACCACCACTGCCTGGTGGAAATACTATTTTGTTACATCTTACATTACAAAGATTCTTCTCATTATTCTCTACAGAATAATTTGGTCATTAAACTTCCTTTCTCTCCTACCTGATAGTATATTTTTCTGTCACTGAACAAGATTCATAAAATATTCAATGACTACTATCCCCATAATCATGAGGGAAACTGTCAACTTGACCCACATCCCTCAAGGGCTACCTGCTGCTCTTATGTAGGAGGAATACAAAAGTAACCCACAAACTGTAATTGTTAAATGGTTTGAATATAACAGAGATAATGGAAACAGGATTTTACAGAATGTTAAAATCTTATTTCTAATGCTAATCTCAAAGATATTGCACTATACAAATTTAGGCACAGGAAACAATTTGCAATTGGATATACAAAAACTCACAAGCAGTTTAATTTGACTGGAAGTCATTAATTTTAAAAATCCTAATTTTAAAAACATTCAGGTCATGAGGTTTTTAAAGGCATTGCTTTTTAGGGTTAAGGATGAAGAGTGCAGCTGAGTGGTAAAGGTACTTGCTAAGCTCTGGTTTTTAATATCTGCAAAGCAAACACGACCTGAAGAGGAAAAAAACAGCATTTTTTAATTAAACAATAAAAATTATTTAAAATGTATTATTTAATTTCTATTTTTTCCAGAGTATGAGAAGACACGCTTATTGCGTATACTTCAAGGGAGCAGTGGTTAGGGTAGGAGCAGAATGGCCTGCCTCATTGTATTTCTAACTTCTATATCTTTCAGTTTTAAAATTTTACGCATGAATATTTTGCCTACATCTATACTTGCATATCACATGTGCGTAGTTCCCACTGAGGCCAAAAGAGGGTGTCAGATTCCCTGCGGCTGGAGTTACAGACAGCTGTGAGCTGCCACATGGGTTCTAGGAATTGAACCAAGGTTCTCAAGAAGTGCAACCAGTGTTCTTAATTGTTGAGTCATGGTTCCAGCCCCAGTTATGTATTTTTAATTTCTTTGAGCTGTTTTTAAACTCATCTTTAAAGTATATTTGGTTATATATAAAACTTCTTGAATATCAATGTCATTAGTATATTCTCTGATATAAACATGCATATATAGACACATATACATATGTATATGTAGATATACATACACAAATAATTATATTGTGTATATATGCATACATATATACATACACTTTAAATATATATATGTCTAGCCTGTCCATACTTCCTGAGTGCGCACATGTGAAAGTAAACGTGCAGGGGCTGCTATGAAGGTGTTACCACAAAAAACAGAATCAAAAACTATAAAGGGAAAAGTCAGATCCTGACGTCAAACCATGATGACTTATATTTTAGTGGGTCAGCAGTGTGACTCAGGGAAAGCATGCTTCCCTAAGACGTGTGAAGCCCTGGAGTTGATACTCAATACCACAGATGTGTGCACACATATACAAATCATCTAGTGTATTTTAAGGAAATTTAAAAATAAAAGTATATAACCAATTATATCTGTTTTTAAAACTCCTTAAATAAAACATTTGTTCTTGGTTTTCCTTAATTTTAAAAACCTTTAAAAATTTTTTTTCAAGTCATGAAAAAAGAAGGGTTTGTTAAGTTACTCAGGAGGGTTGGCAAGTGACCCTCTTGGCTGAATGTGGGTTGTACTGGGAAGGACAGTGTCCTGGAAGAACACAGTGCCCTGCTGGAGTGCTGCTTTCACATCACCTGGCAGACCTGAGCCATGCACAGTCTACAAACGCTAAGATTCCTATTTGGTATTTACTGGAAAACTGTCTACCCGTGACCTACAGTGATAAAGATTCCTTCCCTCCAGAGTGAGCGATGCAGCTGGTTCCCATGGTGGTGCTGCCGCCATTCCTCATCCCCAGGCCAGCTAGGATATAGATTCTAATTCATTCAAACAGAAACTGTACTCTCTACTCTGGCTTATAGCCCTTGTGCCCCTCTCCCTGAAAGTCTTCTTCCCTCTACAAAGCTATCTTTTCTATTTGACCATGCTAATCATATCTAAGGATTCAAAGATTAGGACTCTGCTATTCCTAATTCTGGAAATTAATCAAATTGAATAGGTTTTTCGTAAAATACAGCATTGTTCCAAATGAATTTTCCTTTCACTGTGCTAATTTAGTACCAGTGCTTTGAGGTTGCACCTCAGTTTCTTGTGTATCAAACACACTCCAGCCCCTTTACCCATATATTTCTTAAAATACACTATAGTATAAGTCAGGTCACAATGAAGACTTAGGGCACATGTTACAGATAAAACAAGATTCTTGGTTGAGAATATATAACCTATCACCAATCTTACCTAATTTGTTCCAAACCCACTATAAAAGCATGGTCTTGAGGAGAATCTATAGTTTACAAAGATCAAGTAATCATGACACAGCAAGATTTGGAAATTACTATTTTGAACAATGTTTTTGTTAAATTATTTAAAATAAATTATATTATTTTGCTAATTAATAAATAATTAAATTTATTAATGAACATGCTCTATCCATTACAATATTAATGATCCAATTACTTATTCAGCCAAATATATGTTAAGGACTTCCATGTCCACGTGCAAGTCTAAACATTAAGAATACAGTACTAGGGGCTGGAGAGATGGCTCAGCAGTTAAGAGAACCATCTGCTCTTCCAGAGATCATGAGTTCAATTCCCAGCAACCACATGGTGGCTCACAACCATCTATACTGGGGTCTGATGCCCTCTTCTGGCATGCAGATGCACATGCAGATAAATACTCCTATACATAAAATAAATAAATAAATCTTAAAAAAATAATATAGTATTGAGCCAAAAGGCCAAGCCCTTGTCCACTGGTATCTCACAGACTAATTGAAGAAGGCAGGCAGCACAAAAATCAAGCCTCATGAGTAACACATTGTATGTACTCAGAAAGTGTTGGAAAGTGGGCTGGGCAGAAACCAGCAGTGTGGAGTCTTGAGTGAAAACAGACAACATCAGAGCAGAAACATGAACCAAGGGAAGCAGACAGCTGTGGATAATGCCATAAGCTTGCTTTAGTGGGTATTAAACCACAAAAGTGTCTAAAACTCTTTGACCTTTAGGGCTCGCCTTTTCCTTCCAAACAGAGACAGCAACACCAACAAAACTTCAGGAACAAAGGTATAGAGGTATTTTCAGGAATAAATTTGAATTCTTGAGATTTTAATTTTAATTCACTGAAATTACAAAACAGGCATACCTAAAGAATGATCCTGGAGTCTCGCAACAATAAAAACTGGCAGATAAAAATCACTCAGTCACAGGTAGACACTGCTATTCAGAAGAACGGTAATAGCATAGTTTCATATGCATAAAATTACATAAAAGTACTAGGTATTTAAGATTCGTAATCTGAAAAATCTTAAAAGTAGAGCTGGGAAGATGGCTAAGTGGGTAAACACCTGCTACAAAAGTATGAAGACCAGAATTTGTATCCGAGAGTCCGGGCAAACATCTGGCAGCTGTGGTGGCACCTGTGTAGTTCCAGAACTCAGGAGGCAGAACTAGGGCATCTTGGAGCAAGAAGGCTAGACTAGCTGTAATCAGTGAGCTCTGGGCTTAGCTGAGAAATACTTTTACACAATATATCTTCCATTTTACAGTTTAAAAAAAACCAATGATTTTTGTTTTTGTTGTGTTGGTTTTTCCAGTGTTTCTCTGTGTAGCTTTAGCTGTCCTGGAATTTACTTTGTAGAACAGGCTAGCCTCTCTTGCATGTGCCAGTAAGTCTGGTGAAAAAGAAAACTTTTTTTTTCAACCTGGTTAAACTGGGCATGATGGCTGTGATGGTTTGAGTAAGAATGGCCCCCATAGATTCATATATTCGAGTGCTTAGTCATTAGTAGTGCCGCTACTTGAGAGGGATTAGGTGGTATGTCCTTGCTGGAGGAAGAGTGTCACTGGAGGTGGGCTTTGAGGTTTCAAGGGCCCAAGCCAAGCGGCTCTCTCTCTTCCTGCTGCCTTTGGACCCAGATGTAGAACTCTCAGTTACTAGCTCTGCCTGCTTGTTACCCACCATGAGGATAATGGACTAAACCTCTGAAATGGTAAGAAAATCCCAACTAAATGATTTATGAGTTGCCATGGTTACGGTGTCTCTCCACAGCAATAGAACACTAAGACAGCAGCACATGCCTTTCTCAGCATTCAGAAGGCAGAGGCAGCTGGATCTCCAAGACTTCAAAGCTAACCTGTTCTACATAGTGAGTTTCAGGGTAGCCATGGCTACACAAAGATAATCTGTTTCAAAAAATTTGTTAACACTGTATTAATGACAGGTAATTTAGCACATGAAATTCTTTGTTAACAATTTTCCAGCAGACTGATAGGATATAGGTGTTTGTGGAGGGGGATTTTTTCTTTAAACATGGTGTATGGGAGTGTATGCATATATCACTGCATGCATGTAGGAATCAGAGGGCAACCTTGGTTGTTTGTCCTTGTCTTCCACCTTTAGATAAGGTCCCTTGCTGTTCACTGTGTCCAGCTTTATGTGGCCTAAGGATTCAAACCCAGATCCTTGGGCTTCCAAGGCAGGTGCTTTACCCACTGAGCCATCTCTCCAACCCTGAGTAGAATTTTATGAAATGCCTATGTTGAGTGTGTATATATATATATATATATATATATATATATATATATATATGCTCTCAGTTATTTTTGCCACCATGCCTTCACTCCACCACCATGGATTCTAGCCCTCTGAAACTGTTAAGTCCAATTAAACACTTTCTTTTGTAAGCTGCCTTGTTTTATCACAGCAATAGAAAACTGAGAATCCTCTTCAAATCCTTACAAAGCAGTAAGAGCACCTTAGATCCTTAAAGGGAAGTTTCTACTTCCCAAATTGCATTTCCATCTGTGTAGGTTGAGTGGCATGTTCTTTCCCACTTCCCGAAAGCTAACACTACAGTAAAAAGTGAAGAGAGGCCAAATAAATGATCACAGCACAGTGGACATATTCTCAGGCAATTTTGAGTTATTGTAATTTTCTTTTGCTAAGAGAAGTGGTTAGTACTTGGCTGGACAATATCCTGCCAATCACCCTTCCAAGAGATGCTTGGAAAAACAGAGCTATGAGGAAGTCAAGTCAGAATCCTCACCAGTACTGCAGGGATTCGGTTTGAGTTTATTGAGACCACCATCCAATTTTCATGGCCTGTTCAGAGAACCAAGTGATTTGAAGTAAAGGTCCACAGGAGATGGCATGCTGGAATCTAAGAACACAGGTTTGGGACTCGGATCTAGGACTGAATCATTCCTTAGCCTCTTGCTATTATGTGATATTGGGCAAGTTATTTGCTCTTTGAAGCAAGTTTCTCAGTCCTGGAACAGTACACATCTACTAAGGAAGCTGTAAAGATCAGGAAGAAATAACATATCTGTAGTATTAACAGAGGCCTCAAACATACTCTCTCAGTTAATATCACTATCAGCAGTAAGGTCTGCATGTTTGTAGCAGCTTTATTCGTAATAGTCAGAACCTGGAAACAACCAAGATGGCCCTCAGCAGAAGAATGGATGCAGAAATTGTGGTACATTTACATAATGGAATACTACTCAGGAATTAAAAAAAAAGAAATCATGAAATTTACAGGCAAATGGTAGAAACTAGAAAAGATTACCCTAAGTGAGGTAACCCAGAAGCAGAAAGACACACATGATAATATACTCACTTATAAGTTGATACTAGACCTATAATATAGGATAATCATACTAAAATCTGTACACCTAAAGAAACTAAGCAAGAAGAGGACCCTGGCTAAGATGCTCAATCCCCATTCAGAAAGGCAAACAGGATGGACACTGGAAGAGTGTGAAAACAGAGAATAGGACAGGAGCCTACCACAGGGGGCCTCTGAAAGACTCTACCCAGCAGTGTATCAAAGCAGATGCTGAGACTCATAACCAAACGTTGGGCAGAGTGCAAAGAATCTTATGAAAGAAGGAGGAGATAGAAAGACCTGGAGGGGACTAGAGCTCCACAGGGAGAGCAACAGAACCAAAAAAATCTGGGCCCAGGTGTCTTTTTGAGACTGATACTCCAATCAAGACCCATGTATGGAGATACCCTAGAACCCCTGCACAGATGTAGCCCACGGCAGCTCTGTGTGCAAGTGGGTTCTCTAATAAGGGGAACAGGGACTGTCTCTGACATGAACTCAGTGGCTGGTTCTTTGACCACCTCCCCCTGAGAGGGGAGCAGCCTTACCAGGCCACAGGGGAAGACAATGCAGCCACGCCTGATGAGACCTGATTAATAGGCTAGGGTCAGAGGGAAGAGGAGGAGGACCTTCCCTATCAGTGGGCTTGGGGAGGGGCAGGGGAGGAGAAGAGGGTGGAATTGGGAAGGAAAAAGGGAGGGGGCTACAGCTGGGATACAAAGTGAATAAATTGTTAACTAATAAAAAATTAATTAAAAGACAAATACAGAGAGCTGAAGAGATGGCTCAGTGGTTAAGAGCACTGTCTGCTCTTCCAAAGGAACCGGGTTCAATTCCCAGCCCCCACATGGCAGTTCACAACTGTCTGTAATGCAAATTCCAAGGGATCTGACACCTTCACACTAATGCACATAAAATAAAATTAAATAAATTATTTTTAAAAAGACAAATACATGATCACCCCTTACAATGTACTTGTATCTACATCTAGTAATAAAGACTTTATGTGTAAAAAAAAATAAGGTCTCCACAGAAAAACCTAGTGTTAAGGCACTAACTCAGGTCATATATTCAATGGCTTAAGTGTCTTATAAAAGGTTTCAGGTTAAAGTGATGACTATTTTATTACCATCAAGTTCACAAAAGTGATCCTGTGAATCGTCGTATCTCGCCCAGTCAATGAATGCTTCTTTGCTTTCATTACTATGGAAAGGAGAAGTAAAAAAAAAAAAAACAAAAAACAAAAAACAATTATATCTGGAGTTGAAATTTTAACATTGTATTCTAGTGAACAAAATAAAGATCATTTCTTTAGAAGATGATGCCACAAATTCTAGCAGTAGTTAAACAAGGGAATGATAAAAGCAAGTCAGGAAAATCATAGCTATCAATATCTATGAGTTGTTTATATTTCCTAGCTATCCTACTTTAAAATTATTCTTACATCTAGTTTTTTCAGTAATTTAAATGTAATTTACAAAAAAATATCACAAGCATTTACATATCAAAATCAAGGTCACCGCCATAACTAATATAAAAATGTTATTCTCTTAAATAGAAGCACAGCTTGTTTTCTGAATTCTTTTTTGTTTGTTTGTTTGTTTCTATATTTATAAAACCCCCAAATACCAAGAACTTTATTGTATTAGTTGTTTAATTTATACTGCATGGGATCACACTCTGCATGCTTTTCACATTGGTTCCAGTTTGCTATACAAAATTGATACATCTATCTCTGATCTATACATCTGATCTATCTCCCTGTCCTCAAAGAAGGCATTCTTATATACTATTAGTGGCAATTAAATTTGCTATAGTAATTTTGAGAAACCATTTGGCAGTACCTAACTCCATTTCTAGGACTATTCACCTTATAAATACACACAGGTATGACCTAAATGTTTTTAAAATGGCCTCTAAGTGGAAAGCATCCAGTTAGCAACAGTAGGATTCCAACATATGTGCCAACAACAACAAAAAGAAGTGTTTTTTGCTCAAGAACATGAAGAGAGCCACACACATACTTTAAAGAAGACAGACACAAGATGGGTGTGTTGTCACATACCAATAATCCCTGAATTTAAGAGGCTAAGGCAGAAGAATCATGAATTGCAGGCCAGCCTGAGATCCTGTCACAAAAAGAGGGTTGGGGGAGGAGGAGGAGGAGGAGGAGGAGGAGGAAGAGGAGGAGGAAGAAGAGGAAACGAAGAGGAAGGAGGCAGCAGCGGATGTGATGGTGACAGCTAAGCATAGTGGTGCATGTCTTTAATCTCAGTACTTTTGCCTCAGAGGACAGAGCCATCTCTATGAGGCTGAGGCCAGCCTGGTCTGCATAGTGCAGTCAGGCCAGGGCTATAAAGTAAGACTCTGTCTCAAAAAAAAAGAAAAGAAACAAACAAAAGAAAAATTAAATAAAAACAAAAAAACCCACCCACAAATACAAAGGAACACATTTCATATTATTCTATTTATATAAATGAGCAACACTAATTTCTAATCATGGTAAATTTTGAAAGTTGGTAGCAGCTAGGAGAGTTCACAGGGTCATCTAGGTAGTATGGGCACTGTACTAGCTTACAGCCACAAAGGTAAGTTCACACTATTAACATGTCTTATTGTTCCCCTATTAAAGTTAATTTTAAAAACTTCTCATAGTAGCAAAAAGAGGGCAGATAAGTAAAATGTAACACATCTACACAATGAAAATATCTATCAATTAAAACTAAATCTATTTCAACACAGCCTAAAAAGCAAACTTACACTCAAGAAAAAAAATAAAAAGAGGATTAGGAATATAGCTCAGAGGCAGGGCAACTTGTCTAATATAGGTGAGGCCCTGAGTTCAATTTGTAGTCCATAAACAAGCATTACATTAAAATGGTAACATTCATTTGAAATTGTATCTTTTTTTCTTTTATCCTTTAATCTTTCTACATTAAAATTTTAATGGTAAATAATATAGGCTATTATCTTCATATAACAAATATAATAATAAAGGCCATTAACTTTGATTTGCTAGCAATTAGTTTATAAACACAAATCTAAACAAATAGAAGTTTTAGGAGAGATGGCTCAGAGGTTAAGAGCACTGGCTGTTCTTCCAGAGGTCCTGAGTTCAATTCCCAGAAACCACATGGTGGCTCACAACCATCGGTAATGAGATCTGGTGCCCTCTTCTGGCATACAGGCATACATACAGGTAGAACATTGTATATATAATAAATAAATAAATTTAAAAAAAAACAAATAGAAGTTTTAAAAGAATTTATGAATATTGCATCCCAACTACAAGTTATATTGAGTAACTTAATACTAAATAATCTGAGATTATTTAGGAATTATGCTGACCTTAAGAAGCAAGTTTCTGTTTAGAGCAAATAAGGAAAAGGCTCAGAAAAATATTATGAAACTTAAATTATACTGACAGCAATTTTCATTTCGGAAAAGACACAGACTAAACTACTGCCTATTAAAGACTCAGGGGCTCAAGCTCCTTCCACACAATGTTCATAAAGAATGTCAAAGTCCTGACAGTCCACTCATTCTCTGGAGTAATTACTGAGGATAAAATTGCCCCAAAGATGGAGAACTTATAGAACTGTAGGCATTATTATTTTTAGAAGTTCATTAGCTGAAAATGTAATAACTAACTAAAAATATTTTATCAAAATCACAAGCTGGGCAGTGGTGGTGCTTGACTTTACACCCAGCACTCAGGAGGCAGAAGCAAGTAGACCTCTGAGGCCAGCCTGGTCTACAGAGTAAATTCCAGAAAAGTCAGTTCTAAACAGAGAAACCCTGTCTCAAAGAAAAAATCACAAAAAAGTCACTGATACAAAAAATACTAAGTAAAACTCAACTTGCCTTAATGTGCTGTTGATGGCACCCAGTTTGTTAGCCTGCTCACAGTCTTCCAGTTCTATGGTGGTGTTTGCCACCTGCAAGTACTACAAGAAAATTCATATGTAGTTAAATGATAGTAATTCGCTCTTCTTTATCAGATAATCAATGGTGACACATTATCATCAAAATCCTTATAGTAAGAAAGACTTTTTTTAAAGGCAAGAATTTCTACCCATTAAGTGAGCAAAGGCATTAAAAATGCAAGCGTGTGCCAGTGATGATGTTATCTACAAAAGAAAACTGGATGAATATGTATCTAGGTTTTACAAACACATAAATCTTTAGAACAGCAGTCTTCAAAACTTAGACCACATCCCAACTTTTTTTTTTCTTAATAATACTACCATCATAGTGTTTTGTATCATTTAAAAATGCTGATACACATATCCTATGGCCCAGCATCCCACTTTTATACACAGTAATAGGAAACTTTTATGTGCAAAATGCCAGTGTTTCAACTGCAAGAGCAAAGAACCAGAATGACAGAAATGTTCACATGCAAGCTGGCTACTGCTAGTCACACAAATGACTAAAATATAGCTGTGAGGGTAAATATACAAGGTCTAAAGTATCAAAAGAGAAAGAGACTTAGAAACAAAAACATTGAGCCAAAATATAAACCAAAAAGTATTTCCAACTTGAAGAAATTTATTTTACTAAAATTGTCTTTCTCTTTTGAGAAAATAATCTATATTATTGTACTGCAGACACATGCTCTGAAAGTGTGTAACTTATAGACAGATACATATGTAGTAAGAGGAGAACCACATAAGCCACTTCAGGAAATGGCTGGCTCTGGGGAGGAGAAAGTAAAATGGGATTAAAATAGTGTTGGGGGAGTGGACTACCTTTTGGACTACCTTGCTGCTTAGTTTATTACAGCTTCAGAACCAAAGTAATTATGAGCAAGTGAGCATCAACAATGCATGGGAGAGATGGATAGATCAAGGAGATAAGACAGTAACAAAGAAGGCAGAGAGGGGGTGGAATCATCAACTTGTATGTATGTGCAGCAGTGGAAAATGAGAGTTAACTTCCAACTAGGAACACAGCTTACTGCCCTGTCCCAAAAGCACAACAAATACCTTAACACCATTTCCAAGTACTTCGCTTAAAATATCTTGGTAATAATTTTCTTTATTCAATATAATGTGAATCTAACAGAGACACTGACTGAAACAGAAGACTGAAAATATCTACCAGTATTTTTGCTGCAGCAGTTTAGAGTTTTTCTATCTAGAGATTCTGCAAACAGATCAATTTCACAAGAAGCTAGGTATTCAGAGCCTCACTGCTTGATTCAAGAGTTAGCAGTTTGATCTCTGAGGCCAACTGTCTCATTCCCAGATAAACTCATTGCTCTCTACTGCCCCCACTATCCAAAAATATTCAAAGAAGAAGAGTAACGCACCTTATTTGCATGCCCGGCTTTAATTCCAACTGGAATTTTACTCTTAAAAGAAAAACAGTAACATTACTTAGAAGACAGTCAGAGGGATGGTTGGTATCAAAAGGGAAAGGAGGAGAACAAAAGAAACTGGATCTTAAAAATGCAAATGGATTTTGCTTCCTATGTTATGGCTTCTCTTTTTTAAAAAATTGTATTTTATGTGTATGATGTTTTGCCAGTATAAATGTAGCTCTGAAGGGAAATGTACCCTGGCAGTTGTGAGCCAAGAAATGCCACAAAATCACAACATACAACAAACCTCACACAAGAGATTTATTGGGAGGGAAAACCCAGAAGGGTGGCTGCCTCTGCTCGGGAGAGAAACAATGGGGAATTAGCAGACACAGGGTTTATATATGGTTTCTTAAAGGTGGAGCGGTCCAGGATGGAACTTGCCAGGGTGAGGATTGGTAGGATTTAAAGCCCTGAGCTTGGGGGAGCTCAGAAATTGGTGGGTTCCTGTGGCAAGATCAGGGTTTGGTGGTGTCTCCTGTTCAGGGATTGATTAGATTTTTTTTCTTTCTTTTTCTTTTTTTTTTTCCTGGCTACTCCCATGCCTCAGGGCTGGGCATGACTGTTATACTATCAACTGACCAATGCTGGAGCTCCTCACCATGCAGAGTAGGGCAGGGGAGGGTGGTGGTGACAAAGGGGAAGGGCGATGGGTGGGGCGGGAGTGGGGAGTCCACCACAGCAGGGACTCCCTGCCCTGAACAGCCCACATTATGCCTACTGTCTATGGCAGCCAGAGAGGGCCCTGGAATCCCTGGAACTATGGTTATGGGTGGCTCTGAGCTACTACTTGAGTGCTGGTAAGAGCAGCAAATGCTCTATCTCTCCAGCCCCTGATGTGAGTTTTTAAGTAAACACCATTTATTTCTTACTAGAAATGTAACACAGAAGAGGCTATGAACTTACGAACTGAACACTCAATTTAGGAACCTATCATGAATCAGCCAGCATTGTGGTTCACACCTGTGATACCAGCACTCAGGAAACTGAGGAAGGAAGACTGCCATAAATTCAAAGCCAGCCAAGACAATAGGATAAGATCATATCTCCAAAAATCCAAAGACACACACACACACACAAAATACAGTGTATCAAAGACAAATTGGTCAGGTCTAGCTACATGGCACTGGTGGAGGCAGGAGCATATCAACTCCCAGACTCTATAATGAGACCCTATCTCAAACAAAACCACAACCAAATAATGAACTTCAAATATTCAACACCAAGAAAACTATTTAAAAATGGGCAGACCCAAGTTGGAGAGATGGCTCAGCAGTTGAGAGCACTGTTCTTCCAGAGGTCCTGAGTTCAATTTCCAGCAACCACATGGTGGCTCACAACCATCTATAATGAGATCTGGTGCCCTCTTCTGGTCTCCTTGCACACATGCAGGCAGGATGCTGCACAAATAATAAAATAAATGGGCAGATCTAGGTGTATAACTCTGTGGCAAGGTACTTGTTTGGCATATACAGGAACTGAGTTCTGATCCCAACACAAGCACCAAAAGAAAAAAATAAATACTGACTCCAGTTCCAGAGGAAAAAAGATGGAAGAGACAGGACTAAAAAAAAATGTCCTGTTGAACAGAATTGACAAGCTATAAAGCACAAGCACAGAGCTGACATATGTGAAACTAGGCATAGGATGGTATTAAGATTAATTTCCTGATTTTCTTAATTTTGCTGCAGTTATATACAAGAACAGTCTTGCTTCTAAGAAAACACAGCAGTATTCAGACTTAAAGGATAAGTCTGCAGCATACTCCAACAGTTCAGAAATTACAAGGCAGGCATTAACTGTGCACATTCAGGTGATCTGCATAACACATCCACAGCATTCTCTGCACCAGCCCTAGACCTTTCCTGCAAACTGGAGATCATTTCAGACTCAAACCATTTTCTGTAAATATTTTATTCTTTTGTTTATTTGTTTTTCAAGACAAGGTTTCTCTATGTTTCTCTTTGGCTATCCTGGAACTATCTCTGTAGACTAGGCTGGCCTCAAACTCACAGAGATCCACCTGCCTCTGCCTCCCAAGTGCTGAGCTTAAAGGTGCGCACCACCATTCTAGTTTAAAAATAAAGCTCATTAAAAAAAAAAAAAAAATCTTTCATAAGATGACACTGGTCCAGATGCTCTTTTTTAAAACTACTTTTAAGGCCCACAACTAGCCTGATTTGGTTAAAAAAAAAAAAGGCAATAAGTCAAAATTTTAAATGTACCTTAAAATTGTTATTAAAGGAGAATATTTTTAAATTAATTATGTCAAAACTGAAATATCAGAACTAGCGGTATATCTCAGTGGTACCTGTCTAGTATGTGTAAAGATAAGGTTCCTGTGTCTGCCCCTCCCCTCTCCTTACCTAGAATGTAACATTCTCTTGGTAGTAAACATATCCTTTAAGGAAAAAAAGCAATGAGAACATACTCTACTCTAAGGTGGATTTTCCCAATTTGTGCACTGAAATTCCCATTTTAAATGTGAAGTTTAGGTGTTTTTGCCTATGAAACAAGATGCAGATTCAATATAGTCCATAGTAGGTCTAATACTAGAATAAGTCTTTGATCTTCCTCCCATTGTAGAATCAGACCTATGTACATACCCTATCACCAATACCACTGGATTCAAGAGTTCCTAAACTTTCAAGGTGTCTAGTCATAAGAGCTGAAAGCCTGTGAACCTGCCGACAAGTCCAAACACAAGGATACTAGCAAGGGCTTATGATATTTTAAAAGCCCCAGAGTACACTAGTCTGCCTCCCCCCCGCCCCCATTATTATATTCTTACTTACCTCCGGACAGGGCTCCACATGACAGTCTTTTATTGAGCAATGGCCATCTTCTGCCCAGAAAGGGCATGGTCGCTTCAGATTAACCTTTTACAAAGAACAAATTATAGAATGTTTGCCAGTGACCTGTGCACACAACACAGTGGTGATAGGGAGGGAAAAACTTCTTGACCCTGCGCTGTATACACAGTTAAGATATTAAATGATTGCAGATGGAGAGTTAACTTTTAAAACAAACGGCTATAGGTTCTCTGACACTGAAAAAGAGGAACAACACTCAAGTTCTCTGTTCATTTGAAGCACAGCTGTCATTGTGCAACATTTCAGAACAACTTTAACATTCCCCAAATATCTTAGTCAGTATGTACTGAACACTGGCTAACTGTCAGACACCAGGCTAGGCTCAAAGCCAAAAGAGAGTTTTCTCTCTTATGACTTATAATATTCTGAAAAGAGAAATCAAATATTTACATTTATTTCATTGCAAATTGTAGTATGTGTTCCAAAGGAGAACCCAGAGTTTTGTAGTAGTGGCGCTGATGGATGTAGCCTCTGGGTCAAGGGAAATATACATTTGGCTATAGCAATGGAGAGCTTTGATGGTGCTAAGAATGAAGAACCACCAGTTCTACCATTTTTAGTGGGAAAAGAATGGACAATAGAGGCAGAGGTTACGTGGACACTGACTTCTACATTCTTCATACCACAGGAAGCTGACAATCCAACTGGACTTACAGATGTATTGCCCAAGCTAAAACCCCGTTTTCTGTCTTCTCCCTTACTTGGTACTTACTTTTACCAGCCCCACCACCATCATTTGTCTCTTGCCTAAGTTACTGCAACAGTTGCCCTCCTTCTACCACTACCTGTTGCACAAAGCAACAGTTACATCAAAACCAAGGCAGACCTACCAGAGTCTGCTCAGAACTTTACTTCACATTTTTCATCTCCCTTGGAGCAAATCCTGCAGCAGCTCTACAAACACTACTACGGAACCACTGTCGTCTGCCTCTCTTACCTCATCTATTACACTGCATTTCTGCTTGATACACCAGGCTTCTTAAGCCCCAAAGCCTCTATACTGGCCATTCTCTTCATCTGTATTATTGTTCCTACAGAAGGTGCGTTCCTTCCCCCTTACTCAGGTCTCTCAACAGCAGTAGGCCTTGACTAGACCCTCTAAAATAGTTCTTCGAATATACCCCCCAATATGTTGGTGTATAATTTTTGTGTATGTGTCATGTGTACATGCTCATGTTTTTTAAAGCTGGCCCCTACCTACCTCTCCAATCATCCTCTTCCTCCTTCATCTACTTCTGTGGCCTAAGCTTTCTTCAAATTCTTCAAATATATTAAGCTTATTCCTATGTCAAAACTTTTACATCTATTCACTCAAAATCCCTAGATCTCACCACCACTTACACTTTAACGTTAGGAAGGTCATTGCTCAAATATCACATTAGCATAAAAATCTTCTTTCCTGATCATTTCATCAAAGCAAGGTATTTCTGTATGTTATCCCCCACCCCACTTATATTTCATCTCCTGCTTTATTTTTCTCTGTAGTATTCACCTTACATCTGACAATACAGTTCAGTGTATGCTTACTTACTGTTTATCCCCTAAACAGAACAAAAACTTTGTCTTACTCACTGCCATATCCACAGTACCAAGACTAGAGGCTGTTGAAAAGTCACCAGTGTGACCAATTGCCTAGCTGCAAAGGTGAGTGGTTGCTTCTCCGTCCCGCTCCTTGTTCACTGAATCCCAGGTATTTTATGTTACTTGTGTTTGAAAACTGCTCTTAGCTTCCCATAAGTACAGAATACTGAGAATGGTTAAATATTTCTATTTACCTCACAGGCAGACAGAACTAGAAACTGAGCAGTTCACTCTCAAATGCCTGTTTGTCCCTGGGATGAGGGCATCAGCAACACCAGGGCTGCACCCTCTTGGGGAACAGGCATAAATGTGTATAGAACCTTATCATGTTAGAGTACTTTTAAACAAGCAGGAAAATGAAAACCTATGTTGGGTAGGCCAAGGCCACATTATTTTTGCCTACTTATCTTTCATTTTCCCTTCTACTGTAACAGTCTTCTAATTTCTCTTTGAGAAACAATGATTCCTCATGTTTCTTTGAATAGAAAGGGATCCTTCCTTCTTTTGGTAAAAGTATCACTTGACTTCCTGGACCAATCATGATCCTCTTCTTCAGTACAACAACAACAAAACGGTGGGGGAACAGCTAATTCAGGCTGAATGTTCAGGGAAGGGCTGATGACACACAGGCTCAGGGAAGCAGGGCTTGCCTAGCTGCCCCACAGGCCAGATACCCTAGACCCAACTACCAGAGTTTTGGTGGTATCTTAAAGAAAAGACTTACCTGTGCCTGCTCTGCCTTCATCTTTTCTGACATGTATTTCTTCAGTTTGTCTTTTAATTTTGTAAACAACTCAATTACCTTCTCTCTTTCTCAAACTTCTGTTTTTTTTAGTCAACAAAAGTACCCTATTTAAGATACCCAGGCCTATTATTTCTTCAATTTAAAAATGTGGATAGTAATAACAAAATTTTCATATGGAAATTAAGTGAGATATCCATTCACACAAATATTCAGTTCCTCAATGGGCCAGGTCTTATATGGATACAGAAATAAAAGAGGCAATCTCAAAAGGGAGGGTTGGGACAGATTCAGTGGAAATAGTACCTGGACCCCAAATAAGGCACAGTCAGACAGCACACACAAAGTTTTTACTATATTAGACTGAACCATATGAAACTGGCATGTTCAACCATTGTTGAAACAGGAAAGTAACAATTTCATTATGGTTTGTCTAACAATATAAAGACAACATCTACATGTACAGCCAGCAATTTCATGCAGGGACTCAGAAGCAGCTGTCTTTATTTGTATGAAAAATGCCTCAACATCAGCCACAGTTTAGGTACCAATTTATCTTTGAGAAAAATCCACCCACTGTACTCCTAACAGATTCTATACAGAGAAGAAACATTTGCTCCTTTCTGGATATTCTAGATATTTGTGGGACAAAGGATGGGTTCCCAAATCTGTCGTTTTCTAAGTTATCTTCTTGGGCAATCTACAGTTGCCAAAAGATTAAATTTTTCACCCTCAAAAATAGTTAAAAAAAAAACAAAACTAAGATAATCTATTCAGAATCAAGATTAAAAAGGAAACCATGGCTAAATTTTAGAACAAACTAAAATAAAAACCAAATTATATGCCAATTAAATCCTAAGAGCAAGAGCAAGACCAAAGTAAAGCCAAGTATAGTTTTAAAATACAGTTGTAAAATAGACTCTTTGACACTCAAAGGATCCAGATCATAGAACCTCCAGAGACTGGAGGATCAGGGAGTGAAAATGGTCAAAGTACATGATGTACTTGAACCAAAAGGGATCATAAAGCTTTGTACAATGAATATACACTAATGATTTTTTAAATTTTATTTATTTATTTTTTAACTACAGTTTATTCACTTAGTGCCTCAGCTGTAGCTGCCTTCCTTGTCCCCTCCCAATCCTACCTTCCCTCCCTCATCTCCTCCCATGCCCCTACCCAAGTCCACTGATAGGAGAGGTCCTCCTCCTCCCTCTCCATCTGACCCTAGCCTATCAGGTCTCATCATGACGGGCTGCATTGTCTTCCTCTGTGGCCAGGCAAGACTGATCACCCCTCAGGGGGAGGTGATCAAAGAACCAGCCACTGAGTTCATGTCAGAGACATTCCCTGTTCCCATTACTAGGGAACCTACTTGGACACTGAGCTGCCATGGGCTACATCTGTGCAAAGGTTCAGGTTATCTGCATTCATGGTCCTTACTTGGAGTATCAGTCTCAGAAAAGACCCCTGGGACCAGATTTTTTGGTTCTGTTTGATTGTCTTTCTATCGCCCCCTTCCTTCATAAGATTCCTTGCACTCTGCCCAAAATTTGGCTATGGGTCTCAGCATCTGCTTTGATACCCTGCTGGGTAGAGTCTTTCAGAGGCCCTCTGCAGTAGGCTCCTGTCCTGTTCCCTGTTTTCTCCCTTTTCCAATGTCCGTCCCATTTGCCTTTCTGAGTGAGGATTGATCATCTTATCCAGGGTCCTCCTTCTTGCTTAGCTTCTTTAGGTATACAGATTTTAGTATGTTTATCCTATATTATATGTCTAATATCCACTTTTAAGTGAGTATATACCTTATGTGTCTTTCTGCTTCTGGGATACCTCACTCAGGATGATCTTTTCTAGCTAGATCCCACCATTTGCCTGCAATTTTCATTATTTCCTTGTTTTTAATTACTGAGTAGTATTCCATTGTGTAAATGTACCACCATTTCTGCATCCATTCTTCTGCTGAGGGACATCTGGGTTGTTTCCAGATTCTGGCTATACGAATAAAGCTGCTACAAACATGGTTGAGCAAATGTCCTTGTTGTGTACTTAAGCATCTTTTGGATATATGCCTAGGAGTGGTATAGCTGGATCTTGAGGGAGCACTATTCCTAATTGTCTGAGAAAGCGCCAGATTGATTTCCAAAATGGTTGTACAAGTTTACATTCCCACCAGCAATGGAAGAGGGTTCCCCTTTCTCCACATCCTCTCCAGTGTGTGTGGTCACTTGAGTTCTTGAACTTAGCCATTCTGATGGGTGTAAGGTGAAATCTCAGGGTCCTTTTGATTTGCATTTCCCTGATGACCAAGGATGTTGAACATTTCTTTAAGTGTTTCTCTGCCATCTAATAGTTCTCTACAGAGAATTCTCTGTTTAGCTCTATACCCCATTTTTTAATTGGATTACTTGATTTGTTGCTCTTTAACTTAAGTTCTTTATATATTCTGGATATTAGCCCTCTGTCAGATATAGGGTTGGTGAAGATCCTTTCCCAGTCTGTGGGCTGTCGTCTTGTTCTGATGTCAGTGTCCTTTGCTTTACAGAAGCTTTTCAGTTTCATGAGGTCCCATTGATCTTAGAGCCTATGCTATTGGTGTTCTATTCAGGAAGTTGTCTCCTGTGCCAATGAGTTCAATGTGCCCACTTTTTCTTCTAACAGGTTCAGTGTGTCTGGTTTTATGTGAGGTCTTTGATCCACTTGACCTTTAGTTTTGTGTAAGGTGATAAATATGGATCTATTTTCATTTTTCTACATGTAGACATCCATTTGGAACAGCACCATTTGTTGTAAATGCTGCCTTTTTTCCATTGTATGGTTTTGGCTTCTTTCACTAACAATTTTTTTTAACTCACTAGGCTACCCCCTTGGTATTGTCTCCTTTAAAATGTAAAGTTACAATTGTTTTGTTTTGTTTTTTAGTTCTAATGTTGACATACTTGTTGCTACTGCCTTTTCACTGGTCTTTTCAGAAGGCCTAAAGACTCAAAGTAGGTTAAAAACAGAATCTATAGAATTACTATGAGGGCATGTTCTACTTGTAGCATCAGTTGGTTTGCTGCCCCACACAAGGTGGACCAGTGACAGTCTGTTACTGTGTCCTGCTTACAACACACCCATTATAGCAACATGATGTCCATCTAAAGCCTGGACAGCTACAGAACCTATGCCCAGAGAGGCTGGCAAAGCCCATGTGGGCATCTGAACCTTCTGTAAAAGAGGAATCATCCTCAGAAACCAAAACTGAAAGAAGAATAAGTCCCCAATAACAGGAAGGGGATTCAAATTTTTGGTATGTAGTAAAATAGACAATTTGCTGGGTATGGTGGTACATGCCTGTAATCCCAGCACTCAGGGAGGCAGAGGCGGGTGGGTGCTTTGATTTCAAGGCCAGCCTGGTCAACAAAGCAAGTCCAGGACAGGCAAAGCTACAAAGAAAAGGCCTGTCTCAGAAAACCAACTAACCAAACAAAAAACTGACAAATTTTCAAATATGATATTCTTTTAGTTTTATTTTTACAAGATTTTGAAATATAATATATGTAATATGTAATAAATATAATAAAACAAGTCGTATTTGCAGATAACTACATAGGAATCTTTGGGTTAACAGAATTAAAAATTGCCACCTTACCTTGTAATAACGAAAATAGTCTCGTTCTTGTAACTTTTTTATTTTGGGGAAGATTTTGTAGGTGTTGAAGTTATCAATACTGTCAATGTCACACAAGCAATCATCCAGGACTCCAGTCACCTAGAATGTACATATGTGTAACATATAAGACATGCAAATACTAATGTTTATATCTTAATAAATATGTTCTATTATTTTAAAAGATAATTTATTCTTTCAAGTTGGCCAGTTTTACTGATTAAGATTCATAACATTAGGGCCAATGAAATGGCTTAGTGGGTAAAAGTGCTTATTGCCAAGTCTGTAGACCTGAGTTCAATCTCCCCCCATATGGTAGAAGGAGAGACCTGACTCTTGAAACTTGTCCTCTGACTTTTATATGTATGCCAGCCACACGTATACCCATACCCCAACACACACACAAAATAACTATTAAACAGGGTCATAACATTAAAGCAGTCACTTTTTAATTATGGCAGTTGAATATTTAAAAAAAACAGGAAAATTACTTATATCTACATTTACATAACATAACTGAGTTTTTAAAGAAACTGAAACCTATTTTACAAGGTACAGATGGGTTTTTTAAACCAAGCATCCAGATAAGGTGAACAAGACAGACACAAACCCTGAGGCTCAAATGATTGGTAGTCAATGGCAGAGGAGAAACAAGCAAAGTGTACAAGATAGACTAGGCCATTACAGAGGAAGTAAACCAGAAAAGACAGCATTCTGGATACCAAAAGAAGTAAGTACTTGAAAGAGTGAAAGTTGAGTTGTGAAAAAATTCTGCTAGCAGGTAAAAACCTGAGGTTTAAGAACTATATAGTCTTAGCAACAAAGACACTGGTAGCCTTGACAAAAGCGAGCAGCTTCAGGACAGTAGAAGAGTCTGGCTGTAATAAATAGGCTAAACAAAACAGGAAGAATAAAATAGGCTAACTAGAACAGGAGAAATAAAATGAAGACACCTCAGAAATTTTTTACAGAGTTTGAAAAAAGGTAGCTCAATTGGTAGAGAGCTTGATGAGGACCAGAGTTCAATACCAAGAACCCAAGGTCATATTTTAGGATGACAGTAACAACCCATTAGAAAAAGGAAAAATTAATGAACTGGGGGAAAAGAAAACATGAAGGGAACCGTATCCTTGAATGGGAAAGAAGAAATGGAACCTAATATACATTATAAGAGCACAAACAACTCATCCATAGCTGTAACCAACATGGAGTCACAGCAGCTGGTGCAGAGACCAGTAAGTGAGCTGCTCTGCAGAAGTTCTCTTTTGTTAATGATATAAAAATGACAGGGCAGGTGAGCAGACAGTGAAGGATTAAGTAGAGAAGTTTGTAATAATTATTTCCTAAGCTAGGTGTAATCATCTATTTAAGTTATCATTCGAGTTTTAAATTTTACTTTTTCCTCCCCTGGTTTTTTGGGACAGAGTCTCAAGTAGCTCAAGCCAAGGAGGAGTTGGCTCTATAACTGAAACTAACCTTGAAATTCTGATCCTGTCTCTACCTCTTGAGAGATTATAGGTGCGTACCACCTCACGGCTTAAATTTTACTTTGAAAACCTCAATTTCATTATTTTTAATCTTTTGTTCATTCTTTTAGATATTTGGTTTTTTCATACTTCTATGCTTTCTTTATTTTTATCTATATGAGTGCTCTCTGTCTGCATGTATGCCTGCATGCCAGAAGAGGGCACCAGATCACATTATAGATGGTTGTGAGCCACCATGTAGTTGCTGAGAATTGAACTCAGGACCTCTGGAAGAACAGACAGTTCTCTTAACCTCTGAGCCATTTCTCCAGTCCCCCTATGCTTTTCTTATTTGAATATGTTAAAGCTGATATTAAATAACCTACCTAAAAATTTCAGAACCTAAGATCATTTATTTATCATCTCTAGTGTTTCCACTATAGGTATTCTTGAAATTCCCATTAAAAAAAAAAAATCCTCAATAATCCCACTAAAACAAAAACACCAAGTGGAAATGCAGTCAAGACACAAAACCTACCATCCAAAATAGGTCAGAAACACAGGAGACAACTTGTGGAATACAAGTTGTTTACCCTTGTGTTGGCATAGCTGATGGGGAACTGGGGCACATTGTTCCTGCCCAGCATTGAAAGAGAAAACAACAAAATATGAAGTAAAAGCAGGTACAGTTTTCTAACCTGTGGAAAGTTAAAAAAAAAAAAAAACAAAACTAAATCCAACCATCATAACCCACCATCAGGCAGGGGCTATCTGTATCTGATTCATGATTCATGGTACTCTTGCCTTGTGGTTCGTGATTACTTTCTTTAGCATACTGCTTATTCTACTGTTTATTCCACTGAACACTATCTCTGAAAAAATCTTACGTCCTTGAGTTGAAAATACACTTCTCTAGGAGGAATGGATATCTGCTTTCTCTGGTAACCGAGGCTTGCTATAAATCTGACTTCCAAGGAAAGCTTGTCCTAGCTAAGTGGGGCAAACTTGGCCTGAAAAGTCCTGTGAAGGCTGCTCACGGTCACAGATTCTCAATGGACTTTTCACCCCTTCTTCTAGCAAGTTTCTGTTTGTTTGTTTGTTTGAACTTTCCTTTTCCTCAAAATGGGACTCATTTCTTATTCACACTTATACTAGGGTGTAGCTCTTTGGGGTACAGGCTTTGTAGTGGGTCTCTTATTATTCTCCCTTAGGGAACACACTGGTCTTATTGCTTGCCATTTCCACCCCCAGGAAGCTGTGAGACTAGAATCTTGGTCTTCCAGGTTTAAAAGAATTGGACTCCAGTTCAATTCCTTAAGGAACTGGAATATGTGTCCCATATTTCTGACTTCCATTTAATGGGGAGCTGTGTGTTCCATGATTTCATGCCACCTCAACATGGACATTTTAAAGGATTTTAAATATATCTGACTAAAACATCCTTTTGTAGGAAAATTGTATGTTAACATGCCATATTTGCATTTCATTTATAAGAAAATAGAGCAGGAGATATACAAATGAACATCCTTTCACATGGCAAAAATATTTTCCTGTTTTCAATATAAAAGGCAAAGTACCTATTTCCTTAAATTATTTTGATTTCATACAAACAGAGGTGTTTTTCAAAAATTTTAATTCTTCCCTTCAATTCTACTTTTGTTTTTTCCTACCAAGTTTAGGATACATGAGAAGTAAAAGAACTGACTATTGTAGTTCTACTTTCTGATTTTCTGCTCTCTGCTTTTCTGTATAATGAAGCAAGTATGCTGTTTTGTTAATACTGGGTAGAGCAGAAAGGGCTACATTAGGGCCCCAGTTTATGTTACTTAACAAGTCAGTTAAGCTCTCTGAACTTCATTAACCACCAAAGCCTTACATATGAGATATGTGCCAAATAAAATGTGGTAATATATAATTAAGCATGTTATGGGCTAAGTGCTATCTAAAAATGTCATCAAAACTATACTAGTAAGTACCACTACAAACAAAATATATATACACTTTTGAAGACTGTTTGGCACCGTGTTACTTTGAAATGTACAAATATTTAAATGTTGATTATATATATTTGAATATAAGGAAATAGAATTACAGGTACATTATAAACCACTAATTAGATATGATTATTGGTAGCTGGGGAAAACTGAAGTGAAGCTTCTAGATTGGTGATAAAGTATACAATTAATATATGACATATATAAAGCAAGAAAATGAGAAATCAGACTTTATAAAAACACTTAAATATAAGTTCCACTCAAGCCAAACATCAAACTAGTAACTAGAAAATAATTTTGCTATTGGCAATCTAGGAAGTTAATTTTTTTTTCTAAGTCTGGTAGATACACCCAGCATTATATCACAGTATTTTCTAAGCCAGGCTAAAATGTAGTGGAAAGAGCAACTGCATTACAGACACTGACAAGGCTTGTTTAAAATGCTGATTCCTTGCACAGTTCCAGATGGCCGCAGAATATATAGAAAGGAGCCAGAGAACCTCCGCGTTCAACAAAGAGTTTCTTTTCCTTCCCCCTATTTCCCCCCCACACCCGTAGGATCATTGTTTAGATGAGAGAGGGTCTTGCTATGCAGTTCTGGATAACCTGGAACGGCATATGTAGACCAGCTTAGTGTCCAACCCGTGGCAATCTGCTTTTCTATCCCCTGAGTGCTGAGGCTACAGGTGTGTGACTACTGTTCCCAGCTGTTTCTTTTATTTTTCAATCAAGTCATCCATTTAAAGAGCACTCACACACGGACACCAGCCGAATAGACAAGCATTCCAGGATTTAGTGCTAGACACCATAACACCCATGAATAGTCAGAAAAACATGTTTACATGGATACCCTCATAGTTACCCCTTTTTTTTTTTTTGCTTAGCAATGAGCGTTAATTGCTTCAAACTGCGTGTCCCCTCATTATCAGGCCATCTGAGACACTTGTTTTGCTCCGTTGTTGGCTCTTCGAACTAACACTTTGCAGCAGGTGCACACAAGATACAGCAGAATCTGTCAACCTGTTCAAATCTTCCTCACTGAAAAAGCAGCAAACCGACCTCTCTTCAAGACGGGAGGCTGTGGTCAGCTAACCCTTGGCTTTCTAACAGACTGTGAACACTTCAGCAATACTCGCCTCACCAAGGCAACCCCAAAGTGTAACGGACTCTCCAGCCAGAAAGCCTCACTATAGACTTGGAGGCCCACAGTCGGGGCCCAGATCCTCCAATGTTGTAACTGCGTTCACCTGGCGATGCTACTTTGCATAGCAGGATGGTTGGGTAATAATAAAGCAGCTAAAGCCTTCCTATCTCTGGTGCACAAGTTCAAGGAAGTGAAATCCTGTCCTCCTCTAGTCCTCTTGGGAAGAGGGTGGAGGGCCTGCCTCCCTGTCATCTCCTGAGGGAAGAGTCAGAGGCTTGGGCCCCCCCCCCCGCCCCCCCCCTGTTCAAGACACCGAGGGTTTCCTCCCCCTCACCATCACAAAGATAAAGCCACAGCGCTTGCTGGCAGTCACCATCTTCCTCTTCCGTCTACCGCCGCCACGCGTGTCGCGTCCCCGCGCCCGCCGCCGCGGTTTACAGACGTTTCCCGCACTAGCCGGTGCGGTTCCCTCGGTCCCTGGCTGGCCACTCGCACCTGCCCCCCCCGCGGCCTCTCGGCGACGCCGGCGCGGCCGGTCCCCAGCCTCACGTCCCTCGGGCTTACCTGGTTCTTGACAAGACTTGGGAGGAAGCTCAGAGTGACAAGCAGCTGCACTGCGGCCGCCGCCCCCTGCCCAGCGACCGCCCGGCGGAACCCGGGACTCATTGCGACCTCGGCCGCTGCGGTGGCCCCGGCCACTCCGGGCTAGGGAACGGCGGGCCTCCGCTACGACGACTCCAGGAGCCAGTGACCGGGAGCTAGGAGCCGGGAGCCTCCAGGTCTGAGTGCCGGCCTCGGGCAGAAAAACACTCCACGGTTCCCAGCAGCAGCTACTGATGTACCAGCGCTGCGCGCCCCCGCTTCATCCCAGGAGGCCCCGCCCCCGACGTCCTCAGTTGTGAGCACGCCCTCTGCGCAAAGCCTTCTGGGAGTTGTAGTCCCGATAGCCCCTTGAGGGCCCCCCACAACGGGAAGGCCTCAAAAATGGAGAACTACAGGGGCGGAGGTCGCTCTCCCTGAGGCGGGGCTCCGCGGCGACCAATGAGGCGGGACCACGAGGGCTCCAAAACACCCAGGAGCGGGCGGGAGAGCGGGTGCTGTGATTGGGGTTGGCCGGCGGTGGTGGAAACTCGGTTTTGTCGCTTTGAGAAACGAGGCTGGGGCCCCGCAGGGAAACCAGCGCTGTGCAGGTTGCTCCTTGTCACCGCTCAGGATATCCTCAACCTGGCGGAATCTTTGACCCGCAATCCCAAGAGCTTTCTTTGACTCTTTTTCTCACCTCTGCACCTAAAACCACCTGGCATCTTGTCAAGGAGGCTTCAGCAAATCCTTCATGTTACACGCCTCAGAAGTGAATGTCATCGCTTGGTGTCTCTCCTACTCCTCTACCAAAGCCGGGAAAATCTATAATGCACTTTAAAACATGAAGATAAACCAAACTTATGCAGGGAGAAAGAAGAATCAGGATAAACGCACAGAAAAGCTTAAAGGGACATGGACTATCCCAAATGTAACACGTTCTAGTCAGTTTCAGGGTCTTAGTTACACCTCAGATAATGTTCTAGGATTATGTAAGATTGTGTACACGGGCTTCCTGTAGTGCCTAGAAAATAGGAAGTGTTCAATAAACGGTAGTCCCTATCTTGATCAATATTCCTGACATCCAGTGTGTGTATGTCAGTTTGTCATTTTGATGTAACAAATGACCACAAATTTAATGACTGGAAACAAACTCGATATATTAATCGTACTTTTTGGGAGCCAGAAGTTCAAGTCAATGGACTGCATTCATTTGGATTATTATAGAAAACAATATCTCCTTGCTTTTTCCGGCTCCCAGAGCCACTTGCATTCCTAGACTCAGAACCTCATGTGACACAGTGACACAACCTGCTTCTGTTGTCATGTTCTTTCTGACCCTATCTCTCTTGTGTCCCTGCATGTAAAGACCTGTGATTGCATGGGGTTCACCCAGATAATGCAGGCAATTTCCTTATCTCAAAACCCTTAATCAGATCTTCAAAGTCTCTTTTGCTCTCTTGAGTAACATCTACAGGCTCCAGAGATTAGAACGGGTACACCCATGGCTTCCCATAATCACCCCAGCAATGCTTTATAGCTTTCAGAGAACATTTGCATACATGATTCCTCCATAATCTGTAGAGTCAGCCAGAAATTTTCAGAAAAATGTGAGGAATTTCAAGACTGTGACAGCAGAGCCATCAACAAAGTGCAAGGCCGTGAAACTCCACAGGTCATCTTCCCCGTGTTGCCAACTCTGTTGATCCTTCTCCTCCACACTTCTGTTGCCTCCACTCTGGACTAGGGCATCTTTACCTACACAGCCAACACAGGACTTCAGTTTGCTTCTCAAAGCTGCATTTCCACACTCCCCATTTCTCTGTTCTTTGGATATGCAGGGGAACTTTCCTTGGGCCCCTTTGGGGTACAATTGGCCCTGATAACTCATACATCATGGAAGAGGGACATTTTTTTTGTTGTTGTAAACTTCCATATTTTAAAACTTCAAGTTTTTAACATATCAAGGCAGAACCAATGCCTGTCATTCAGAGCACTTCAGGGTCTGTCACTGAAGAAAGACAAAAATATCACAAAAAAATATAATGAAGTCATATATACACAGTAATTGTTTTTCAGTTCAGGAACATGACTCAATGTTTGAAAACAAATTTTCTCTTTTGTGAGTGAAATCAGAAATAGGTGTTTTTCATGAAAAAAAAAAAAAAAAGCTACCAAGGGCCCTGCACACTGACCTGTGCTGTGGCCTGTGTTTGTTGTAATGGGCGGTGTGAGAGGAGTGTTCATTGATGAACAAGCTGCCTTCCTCGGTTTTAGCCTTGCTCTTTACTTCTGCTTTCCTTAAAATCAATTAGGACAGGCATGGCCTCTCTGATGCCACCCCTGCTCCCCACCTGTAATCCTCAGTTTCAAACTTCCCATCCTAATGATGGGGTAGGAAGTTGAAACAGGAAGGCCATACCATATCACCTTCATGGCAAGCTATAGAAAAATTCAGATACAGCTATATTTAAAAACAATAAGCAAAATGATAGTAAATATGAAAAATGACAGCTTGCAATGTTGAACAAGGCTTGACCACTACAGCTCTGGAAAGATGAGTCCATTGGGGTGTACTTCAGGGACCAAGAGGAATAGGGACTGCTAACTAGTTTTTCCAGAACATTGCCATTGTATTGACCATTTCCAGTTACTTTTTATCATTTACCCCCAATAAAAATTCCAATTTCTCAAGTTTAGCTGAGAGAGGAGAAAAGAAAAATAGAAAGCACAAAATATCGACAACCCTGCAGGAATACAAAACACAGGAAGAAGCTAGGTACTCAAGCGTATGGGGAGGCCCACTACCTTCCCACATTTACAGAGAAAAAGAGGCTGGACAGACAGAAATAATAAATGCTTCCTTAAGCAAGCCATGCTAAGTATGTCAGACAAATTCATTTTCCTCCTGTGGTAGTAGAGATTAAACCTAGGGCCTCACACATGCTAGTCAAGTACTTTGCTACTGAGCCATGTCCCCAGTTCTCTTTATATTTTAAGTTAAAAATGTATTTGTATTTATGTGTATGTGTGTGTACCTGCTTTTTATGCACACTGTGCGTGCAATGCCCTCAGAGGACACAATAAGGTATCAGATGCCCTGGAACTGGGCTAATGGGAGATTGGGGACTGCCTGATATGGGTACTTGGAACACAACTGAGGTCCTCTGCAAGAGCAGCAAGTGCTCTTAACCACTGAGCCATCTCTCTAGCTCCCTTATTTTTCAATCTTACTAAGTTGCCTAGACAAGCCATGAAATGTCCATTTTCCTGCCTCAAGCCTCCTGAATAGCTAGAATCACAGGCCCGCCACCAGGTCTGGCTTTACACTCACTTTTCTGGTTTGCATTACCCTGATTTGCATTCATACATTTGTTAAATTATCACAAATGTCTTGGTCTGTGTGTACACTGAAAAGCATACATCAGGGACCTGGCCAACCAAACATAACAGTAATATGTTCTTTCAGATAATGTAATTTATTATTTATAAACCACCTGGCTTAGACAAGCCTAATTTTCTGCAACTAAGATACAGGAAAATTATTTTTCTTTCCGTGAGGGGAAAAAAAAAATATGTGAGCCTCTTCCGGGAAGAGTGAGGACCTGCTTTGTCAGTTAGCACAACTCCTCCAGGACAGACAGTGACAATTTCTCATTGATATGGTTGGGATAGATGATGGTTAACTCTGTGGGAGAAACAATCAGTACAGATGATGTGTTAGTTCCTTTCCTCATCACTATGACCAAATGCCCAACAAGAATCAACTTAAGGGTGAGTCCATCACGAGAGAAGGAAGATACACAGAAGTGGGGAACCGGCTCTAATCTATAGCAGTAGGAACAAGAGGCTGAATGCTCATATCTCAGGGGATCAGGAAACAAATCAGGCTCGTAAACCTCGAGGCACCACACACCACACCACACACACATACACGAGAAACCGATTCCCTCAAAGTCAGGTCCTCCTTCTAAAGGGCTCACAGCCTCCCAAAACAGTGCTGCCAGCTTACCAAAAATTCAAATACAGGAGCCTCAGGGGACATTTTATATCCAAATTATGACAGCTGGTAAGGCATGAGTTTATTTTTTGTAACTCTCAAAGGAGCCTAAACAAACTGGGTGTGGGTGACCTGACTGTGTTTCATCTTTTGGAAGGGATGGTGTCAATGGCGCTTAACCTCTGATCCATCTCTCCAACCTCTTTTTGTTTGTTTGTTTGTTCGTTTGTTTGTTTGATCTTGCTAAGTTGCCCAGACAAGCCTTACCATTTTGATCCTTCTTTCTCAGCCTTCTGAGTGACTGGGATCTCAGGCCTCTGCCACAGACCTGGTTTCAGATCACTCTTCATTAAAGGCAGGGAGATGGCTCAGGTGGCAAAGTGTTAGCCATGTAAGCATGAAGATTTGACTTCAGATTCCTAAGACATACGTAAAAGCCAGTATGGTGGCCCTGCAGTTGTTATGCCAGTACAGAAGAGGAGACAGGTAGATTCTTGCTGGCCAAGTCCAGTGAGAGATCCCATCTCAAAAATTAAGATGGAGATCACAATATAGAGGAGTCTTAATGCAGCAACAAGGCTACTGTGTCAAGGGATAGCATCCAAAGACCTAGGTCTGTGTAATCCAGCTGGAATACACACCTTTAATCCCTCTGGCTGGAATATAGACATGCCTCTAGTATACACTTTTAATCCCAAACAATGATGTCTAATTGAGAGGCAGACAAAGTGACAAATCACAGAAAGATTTGACAGAATGAGTCAGAGATAGGATACACCCATTTCTCACTAGAGAGAGAGAAGGGGAGAGAGAGGGAGAGAGTCTACTTAAGAGCAGCATGCAGAGAGAACGGGACAATACAGTACAGTGGAGGAGAGTACAGTATGGAGTTCATGGAGACAGTACAGTATAGTTTGGGAGTACAGTACAGTTTGGTGCATTTCAGTGATGTTCAGTTGAATGAGTTTATGCAATTCAGTTCATGGAATTCAGAGGCAGGTTTTTCAAGGAGAACAATTCAGTGAGAAGCAGAGAGAAGCCAGTTTGAGTCAGTCAGCATGGAAAGGAGTTTTGAGCCAGAAAAGCTGAGTTGAACTAGCCAGCCAGAGTTCATAAAGAATTGGAAAGGGTGAGCTTATTCAGCAGTAAGTCTCAGAGGCTGAAAACATTCTAGGCCTAGGTTAACAGATGAGGCTAAAGCCTTCAAGGTCTGGTCTTGTAGAAAATTAGATTGTGCAGACTCTATACACACACACACACACACACACATGTATGTATGTATGTATGTATGTAT